ACGTTAACTCAATGAACTCACGTCCTGACTTCTAACAAGTGATGCGAAACCTCACCGGACAACTCAGCGAAGTTCAGTTTCTGTGCTGTTAGTGAATTGTAACTTCCTGCTTCACTTGACTCCTGGTGTCTCAACACTGCAATTGCTTTGCCATCTACAGCAGATGACCAAGCTGCACAACCACTCTGAGGAGCATAACAAAGTTCAGATTACCATCTGCATCAAGGGCAAAGGTGAGTTGTCTGCATCTCATTTTCCTCACCAGCCTGTATACCAACTAACATGTTGAAAGGTATCTGGAATTGCACAGTAAAGGAAGAGTGGGGCAGAGGGAGATGAGGTGGATAAGGCAGCAAAAGGTGCAGGCACAGACTGTGTTGTGTAGTAATGATGTACCTGTATCTGCAGTATCTGTAATGACACAGGTGAACCCAGTAATTTGTGTTAAAAGTCTAGAACAGCTTGGAAAATTTGATTTCACTAACAAGCAACTAGGTAACAAGTCTGGCCTTCTGAGACCTGGTTCCCAGCTCTGCTGTAGGCTGCTTCCACAGGCTTGTCAAGAAGCTTGTAAGTGATTTTTAAGGTGTCTAGACATACCCCATTGAGGTATGTGCTTTCTTTGCCAGTCTCAGTTCCTTGTCCATAAAATAGGGGTTACTGCTGCTTTTCCCTGCCAAAAGACACTGAGGAGAGCAGTTACTAGGGTGATGGGAGATGTAAAGGCCTTACATAGGTTTTCTTGGTTGGAGTGTTTTATGGACACTAGGCAAATGAAACTGAAGACAACCACTTGGAGAGAGATATTTAAAGGGCTGATCTTTGTGCTGCTGTTTTTCAGTCAGTATTATTTCTAAGAAGCTCTGGTTTTAAATAATGCAGTGTAGAAGATTAGTGATGTTGTGTGTGCCTTGAAACTTAATTTGACTGCCCAAGACCTGTGCACAAGTAAAGGTAATTTTTTTAAATTGTTTTAGAGGTTGCAAAAATGTGGAATCTTGTTGTTTAGTCCCTGGAGACATGTTTCTTTTAGATGGAAAAAAGTTCTCTCTCCTCCGTGATGCTGTCCTGATTGATGTAAGCTGCATTGTGAATGAAGGGATGCGCCCAGGTGCAGCACTGGAGTTGGAAATGCTAAGGTCCTGTGCATGTTCTTTGACAGGGAGATGTCTCTACTGTTCTGATAACAAGTTGTTTACTATTTACTAGAGTAGTTAGCAGAAGGAGGTAGAAAAACTGTGGTTTGAATAATTCACAGTTATCTTGGGCTTTTGAAAACTGCCACTGTGTAATGTGCATTTCTTATCCACATTAAAAACAAGTAGGATTAATGTATTATCAGGAGTAGAAAGTGAAAATACTCAAATAGACTGATTATGTATTTTTTTATTTTTTTGGATTCTGATCTTGCCTCAGTTGAGTTCAAGTAGGCAGTGGTTGAGCACAGAAGACAGTGTTAGCCCTAAACATCAAGCCGCTGCAAGGCATGAGCTTGGTTCAGGAACAAAATTTGACCCAAGCTCCTCATACTTAATGTTCAGAGAAACATACCGTAGCATGGCTGGGAGGAGACATGAGAAGGAAAGGGGCTGCTCTTCTCTCTGCCATGCCCTAGCCTGGAGGGGTTCTGGTTCTCTACATTTAACTATCTTGTCATCTTTTCTCCTTCAACCTTTTACTCAAGAGACATTTGGTGTGTTTGGGGAGGCAGAGTGCAATGGGTGTCCCTGCTTCCTGCTCATCTCCTTCCCTCTGGGGAAGGGACCTGGCCACTGCTGTGGCAGGGGTAGCCACAGAGGTCGCTGCTAATTCAAGGCAAATGGAAGTCAACATTAAAGTTGACTATATTCAGAATTATAATATTTAATTCATATTACTGTAATACAATAAGAGACTTCAGCTCTGCACTGCATGTGACATCAAGCTCAAAATGTTAGTCTTTTGCAGATGCCAGGAAAAGTCATCCACCCCATATCAACTCCCAGGTTTCCTTAGTAGTTGTTAATACATCAGATTCTTCAGCACCACAGAGACAATCATGCCATAATAAATAAAAGAAGGAATTCATTGCAAGAGGACAAGAATCACATTCCCAATATCTCCTCAAAGGACAGAGAGAAAATGACTATCTGATGCAAATTAATGAGATGAAATTAATGAGTATCAACAAATAAAATATTCCTCCAGTGGGACCAATCACAGGTACACAGTGCAATGTCTTCTTGGCCCTCTTCCAGTGCTTCAGGGAGCTCCACCAAATATGTGCATGTTGAACAGGCTTGGAGCCCACCAGGCAGGCAGCTCACAGCAGTGCCAGAGTGATTTCCACCAAGGCACCCTTGCAAGCAGTATCTGCTCAAATAAGTGCCAGAACAAACCTGGATCCATATGACAGAATAAATTAATGTAATTAAAAAAAAACTCTGTAAGGTATCACAGTGTAAAGTTCTCTTTTTGTAAATGTGTCCAATGTGCACTCAGCTGGGAACATGCTGTTCGTTTGCCAAAAACATGAGGAGGAGCTATTGCTGTCTGCATGGATCTCATTAGCCTATTTGCATAATTACTCTTTCTTAAATTTTCACATTTTTAAATGTGTTATAACACTGTCAGCTAAGCTGTATACTGTGAGGCAGTGACAGTAAAGGAATTTAATTCTACTTACAAAATATCCTATTGTATGTTTAATAAGATATAAATGTTTGTTGCTTTTACTTGATGCTTAGCAATTTCACGGTGTCTCTCAAGTATTAATTAATTAATAAGCCAATTATGATTAGGCTGAGGACAAGGTATAATGTGCTGGAAACAGAATAGTCTTTGAAGGCGCAGAGGGACAACAGATCCTGGATTCATTGTGCTTTTTAATAGAGCTGCTTGCTTCCAGATTCAATGAAATGAATGTGTTGGTAACAGGGGATGCTACTGGTGGTCAGAGGTAAATCTGTTTAAAGTTTTCTTAACGTGCCAGACTAAATGGTAATGGGCTGTGTTGTGGTCTGGCAGACACATCTTGTCAGCCATCATCTTCTTAGAGGGGAATATATGAGTATGTGTGCGTGTCTGTGAGTGAGAACAGAGGACTCTGATAAATAACTTTCATGATGAAATGATAGAGTCTTTGCCCAACCCAGCCTCACATGTGTTCAGTCTGTACCACAGTGCCCATGAAGGAATAAACCTGAAGGCTAAGATGAAAGAGGAAAGAAAGAAACAGAAAGAAGTTTCTTTCACAGAAAGAAACTGGGGCATGAATCTGTGAGGGACTCTCCTCAGGCAGGCAAATCCAAGCAAAACACCATGATGTCCAAATCAGAGCACTCTTTGAAAACACAGAGATACAGTCTATAAGACCTGCCCTTCCTTCCTGCCTCCCACCCTCCCAGGAGCTGCTCAGTTTAGGCACTGCAGGCACCAGATTTAAAACACTTTACATGCCTTGCTTGCACTTTTGTAGGCCTGGAAACCAGGGGTTTTCCACCTACACCGACCCTCAGCTGGAAGACACATAGTATATGCTCAGCAATACTTTTATTTTGTCAGAAAATTAAGGTTAAAATCCATCACACACAGAAAGAGCCTACAGGAATCATCTGAGTAAAAGAGGATGTGGGTAGAAATCCTACACCTGTCCTCAACAAAGCACTGGAGAGGAGATGACAGGGAAGGAATGGATGCTTTGCTTGTAAGTGCTCTCAAACTACCACAAAAGTCATCATAAGCAATGGAAAAAAAAGCAGATAGGGCAAACAAGCTGGTGCTGCTGAGGTCACTTTGAATGGTGACGCTCAACTTACTTTCTAAAGGGATGGGAGAAGGAAGGCTGAACCACACTTTCCCAAAAGAGTTTTCTTCTCAGACAATCCACACATCAGCTTTCTGACAAGGAAAGAGCAGGGCTCAATACCTTTGGAGATGAGCAATAGGTGCCTCACAGATCATTCCCCACATACATCACCCCCAGCACTGCAGGGACCCCAGCTTTGCCTTTCTGCTGGCTGGGCAAAGGTTGATCTGCTGATTATGAACTGCTTGAAATCCACTTCTGGTCACTGAAGAGACAATGGTCTCAGATGTGGGGAAAAAAGCCTCCTTGCCATCTCCAGTGGTCTTTCTCTAAGCCTCAGTGCTTTGGCAGCCCAAAGAGTTGAATCATAGAGTGGGTTGGTTGGAAGGGACCTTAAAAATCATCTAGTAAGCCTGTTCAGGTCCAATGCCAACATCACTGGGCTTACAGGGGTGATGAGGGAAAGTGTGATGTCACAGTGGAACAATCAGCTGTCTGAGAAGGAGCAAGACAGATTTCTTGGTCAGACCTCTCCAGATCTGGGGGTCTGCTGCTCCTAAAGGGAGTCAGAGGAGGCAGAGATAGGCACATTTTCCAGGCATGAAGAAAATGAACAGAACATCATTCTGTCCAAATCAGAGCACTGAGGGATACAGCCTATAAGACCTGCCCTTCCTTTCTACCTCCCACCCTCTCAGGAGCTGCTCAGTTTAGATCCTGCAGGCAGCACAGGCTCCAAGATGCTGCACATGCCTTGTCTGCCCTTTTATTCAGGCCTGGGAACTGTTAGTTTTGCACTTACATGGACCCTCAGCTGGGCGATACACAATAAAACCTCAGCATTAATTTTATTTTATTTTTTCAGAAAGTTATGTTTAAAATCTGATATTGACAGAAACAACCCCCAACCTGTAGCTGATAAAACCAGAATGGGTAAGTAGAAAGCCTGCTCCTGTCCTCAACAAAACACTGGAGGCAAGGTGGTGGTGGGGGGAACAGATAATTTGCTTTCAGGTGCTCCCAGACTGCCACAAAAATCATCCCAGGCAATGAAATAAAAGCAAATGTGGCTAACAGGCTAGTGCTGCTGGGAATCACCTTACACTCTTGACTTGTTATTTCTTAATGGAATGGAAGAGAGAAGCAAGGCTGAGTTGTTGCACTTGCACACAAGACTATATTCAAACAGATAGAAGAGGAGTTTAGGTCAGCATGAGTTTGTTTAGATTTTATTGTAATTAATAATTATCACAGAAAGGGGGAAAAGTTGCTGGTAATCTTTGGCATAAGGTGTGGCAACTACTGGGCAATGACCATGCACAGCCAGGGGCTCCCTGCCTTGCTCAGAGGTCTTCCAAATGGCCCATCAGTTGCTCTTTCTCTTATTCCCTGAATGCCTATGAGAACAAGGCCTTCAGAGCTCTGTCCGCCAAAGCAGCACCACCACTGGCAGCAACAGAAGCAACAACAACAGGACTAGCACCAGAAGCAGTTGCAACCACAGCCACACCACCGACAACTACACCAGTGATGACTTTACGAGCGAGAGAGGTCCAACATCGAATTGCTCTACTGACCTGTAAAGGGAAAGTAAAACAGGGGCTGGAAATAAAATAAGCAAATATATTTACCCCAAGTGTGCTAATGAAGAGCAGGCAGGGATAATCAGGGCGATTAAAAGAATGAGAGACAGCTGCTCCATAAGCAGAAGGGGTAACATCCAGGTTTCTACACTTAGGCTGTAGCATTCAGTAAGAGGGCACTGTCAGCGTGCAGACAGACTGCAGTGACCCTCCTGGTCCAGGGTCCCTGGTGAGGCCAGAGGTAGCATAGGTTTGGACCCCACACCCAGGACTTGGCTGTCCCCAAGCAGTCTGCAGGTTGTGTGCCTGTCCAGGGGCTGACAGGGAACAGTAAGTGCTCTGTGAGGCACACAAGGAGTTGGGTTACTTACCTGGTTGCTGTCCTCCTCACCATAGTGGAGCATTGTCACAAAGTGCTCGCAGTTTTTGCTGAGCAGGTCATAAGGCACCTCCCTGTCAATGTAGCTCTCACCCTGCTTGATGATCTCCTTCACTGCGAGGGGAGTGTGGGAGCAGTCATACTTGTTGTTGACCTCCCAGTCATCAGTTCCCACCACATCCTTTAGGAGTTGCTTCTTCACCTTGGCCTTTTTGGTCAATATGGCCACAATGCCAGATGACTGATGTGGGATCCCTTCATCTGGGGGAAAGCAGGAAGGAGAGAAGCCAGACAGAACCTGTCTGGCCCTTCCAGGACCTCAGATGGGCTTCTGGCTGGTCCTGCAAAGGCCATCTACACACACAGAGGGTCAGTCCACCAGCCCATGGAGGGAGACAGGGCTCCTGGGGCACTTTAGCACCCCCTCTTCACCCTGCCAGGCTGCACCAGCCTTACCTTCGGACGTCACGTGGATGACATACCCATCGCCCAAGTAGAGAGCCCAGTGCTGATAAAGTGGTCGCTTGATCTCGATCAGGTCTCCAGGCTTGGGGTTCCGCTTGCCAAACGCCATCCCAGGAGCCTGCGGTCAGGACACGCTTTTGTAGCTGGGCTGGCTCAGCGCAGGGCACAGCGGAGCGGGGAGGTGTGGGGTGTGCAGAGGCAGCTGCCGGGGCCGCAGGCACGGAGGGCGTTAGTGCCGGGCACCGAGGGCATCCGCTGCCGGAGCGGCGGCCCCTCCGCGCCGGCGAGCCCGTCCCCAGGCTCTGGGGTACCTCCGGCCCCCGGCGAAGCCGCATCCTGCTGGCAGACGCCCGCTCGCATCCGCCGAGCTCCGCTCACCTTCGCCCCTGTCCCGCTTCTGCCACCACCGGGCTCCAGGCCCGCTCTAAATAGAGAGGGAGCGGGCACGCCCCGGGCAGGTGAGAAAAACATGGTCCTTCCCGGGGTGACTGTTGCCTCTGCCCGGGAACCGTCCCGTCCTGTCCCGCCCCTGCGTTCGGGGCTTCACTCCCGAGGGTGTTGCCAAAACCACCCTTTGGGACGGAATTGTGGTCCGCCCACCGAGGATGGCCGGCATTGCCACCCTGCGGGGAGCCTCTACGTCCGAGCGGTGCTCCCTTCCAGTGAAGGGCAACACCACTGACTCTGTGCCCTGTCACTCCGCAAGACATCCTCTTGCAGAATAAGAACTTCTGGCTGCTGCTTAAAGCCTGGCTTGGGAGCTGCTGTATTGTTTCAGGTTTCTGTATCTTTGTGTCCACACACACGGTGAAGGAGAAAAAGCCAGGCAAAGACAAGCTGCAGCCACAGAAGCTGCTGCCAGTGTTCACACCCCACTTCTCTGTGGCCCCTGGTACAGAGGGAAAACACTGTCTAGAATAAAGTGTCAGAATTTCCTTTCCCATTACAGCCTCTTTCAAAACTTCATCCTAATTTTGCTCTGTTTACTCTGTCCCAACCCCTCTCCATATACATTGTCCTCTGGAAACAGCCACTGCCTTCTCTGGAGCCAATACAACTCCGTGCTCTGAGGTACCCTCAAGTGCTAAGCCAGGGGTGCTCCACCACAGGATCAGTCCCATGCAAGGCTTGTGTTTTCCTGATTTTCCCTCCAACAGTTACTGCATGAGTAGGTGTGTGATGGCACCACTCACTGTGGGTAGGTAGGAGCTCCTCTCCTGCTCTTGTTAATTTCCTCTTTTTCAGCCTATGGAGTGCTGTGAAGAGGGGCTGCCCAGTGCCACTGCCACCAGTATTTCCCAAGTTGGCCCATGGGTACACTCCATCACGTGTGGCTGTAAAATCCTGTCTAGAGGCTTTTAAAATACTAACATACACAATAACACAGCATTATCCTTTTGGTTTTCCCCCTCAGAAATAGGGATAAGAGACTTTTCTTTACACATTCCTTACATAGTTTTTTATTTATTACATTATTTTAATATTTGTTATAATCTAGCCAGTAAATTACATAAATATTGATAATATAATGCTATAATAAGAAACATGCAGTAGCTTGCTTTGTAAAAGTTGTCCTACAATCTCCAAGCTTCTTATCCCTCTTGCCCCCACAGCAGGAAGCCCAGGCCTCTGAAGAAGGGGTTTTAAGTCTTTTTTGCAGCATGGTTATCTCTTGCAGAAATTGCACTTCTCAAGGCAGACAGAAAACAGCTCAAAGCAAGCACAATGCTTGAATATTCCCACACTGAATATTCTTAGGATCTTCCAGCTGTGAGGTCATCTTGAGCAAAACCAGCTCTGTGGCAAGTGATGGATTCTGTTGTTCCTCCTCACACACTCTCTTCATGGTTCAGGCAGTGTTCAGTCAAATAGTATCAATGCACCGACCAACTTGATGGAAAGGCAGCCAAATAATAATCAACCTAATCTTGACCGCACAGACAAGCACGGTACAGGTGCAAACCCCTACATTCAATGAAATGTTACAGCTTCCAGCAAGTACAAGAAAATTCACTACCTGAAGTAATTACAGTATTCTTGCCCTTTCCAGGGTGAATTAGACATGGGAGTGGTGCAAGTGCTGCCCTCACAAGTGCTGCCTTGCCAGGTGTTGCAGATAAGGCTCTGAATACAGAAAGCTTAAAGCTGAGGGCTTGCTGTAAAACCACCTAAATAGTTTAACCATGAAAGCAGTTTTGATTACATTTCCAGGAATCAAGAAAGGACTTTCAGTTTCAGTTTTATGAGAATATGTTTTCCTGCATTAAAAACAATGACTTCATTTACATGTAATAACAGGGGGATCTACAAAACATGACCGGAAGTCCTGGCTTTGTTATTTCAAACATTAAAAAATAGGCATGGAAAAAACTAGTGAATTAACTCCTTGTTTTGCTTTGCTTGGGTGCGTGATTTTTGATTTACTTACTGAAACATGTTTGTTTCAAACCACAAGTTTTTTCACTTCAGCTTCTCTGGTTCTCTCCCAGTCCTGCCAGTAGGTGAGTGAGCAAATGGCTCTCTGCTCCTTAGTTGCTGGCTAGGGTTAAATCTTTGACAGCATGTGAAGAGCAGACACAACCAGCAAGCCTCTTACAAACAGTTGTTTTGCTCTCATCTCTCCTTACAGTCCAGGCACTTGCCTGAAATAAAAACAACAGAGGATTCGATTTCTTACAGGACTGCAGTGAACAGGCTTTTCCAAACACTTAGGCCAGATACTCCAGGTAAAGAGAAGCAAACCACACTTTCCCAAAAGAGTTTTCTTCTCAGACAATCCACACATCAGCTTTCTGACAAGGAAAGAGCAGGGCTCAATACTTTTGGAGATGAGCAATAGGTGCCTCACAGATCATTCCCCACATACATCACCCCCAGCACTGCAGGGACCCCAGCTTTGCCTTTCTGCTGGCTGGGCAAAGGTTGATCTGCTGATTATGAACTGCTTGAAATCCACTTCTGGTCACTGAAGAGACAATGGTCTCAGATGTGGGGAAAAAAGCCTCCTTGCCATCTCCAGTGGTCTTTCTCTAAGCCTCAGTGCTTTGGCAGCCCAAAGAGTTGAATCATAGAGTGGGTTGGTTGGAAGGGACCTTAAAAATCATCTAGTAAGCCTGTTCAGGTCCAATGCCAACATCACTGGGCTTACAGGGGTGATGAGGGAAAGTGTGATGTCACAGTGGAACAATCAGCTGTCTGAGAAGGAGCAAGACAGATTTCTTGGTCAGACCTCTCCAGATCTGGGGGTCTGCTGCTCCTAAAGGGAGTCAGAGGAGGCAGAGATAGGCACATTTTCCAGGCATGAAGAAAATGAACAGAACATCATTCTGTCCAAATCAGAGCACTGAGGGATACAGCCTATAAGACCTGCCCTTCCTTTCTACCTCCCACCCTCTCAGGAGCTGCTCAGTTTAGATCCTGCAGGCAGCACAGGCTCCAAGATGCTGCACATGCCTTGTCTGCCCTTTTATTCAGGCCTGGGAACTGTTAGTTTTGCACTTACATGGACCCTCAGCTGGGCGATTCACAATAAAACCTCAGCAATATTTTATTTTACTTTTTCAGAAAGTTAAGTTCAAAATCCGATATTGACAGAAACAGCCCCCAACCTGTAGTTGATGAAAACAGGATGGTTGGATAGAAAGCCTGCTTCTGTTCTCAGCAAAACACTGGAGGCAAGGTAGGGGGAAGGAAGGGATAATTTGCTTTCAGGTGCTCCCAGACTGCCACAAAAATCATCCCAGGCAATGAAATAAAAGCAAATGTGGCTAACAGGCTAGTGCTGCTGGGAATCACCTTACACTCTTGCCTTGTTATTTCTTAATGGAATGGAAGAGAGAAGCAAGGCTGAGTTGTTGCACACAAGACTATACTCAGATAGAACAGGAATTTAGGTCAACATGAGTTTGTATGTTTAGATTTTAATCGTTAATTATCACAGAAAGGGGGAAAAGTTGCTGGTAATCTTTGGCATAAGGTGTGGTAACTAATGGGTCACGTCCACCTGCATCCAGGGTCTCCCTGCCTTGCTCAGAGGTCTTCCAAATGGCCCATCAGTTGCTCTTTCTCTTATTCCCTGAATGCCTATCAGAAGACCTTAAATTAGACAACAAATCCGCAACACCAGGAGTAGTAGCAGCAACAGGACCAGCACCAGAAGCAGTTAGAGCCACAGCTCCAACACCGGCAGCTGCAACAGAGGCCACTTTCAAAGTCACATGGATAAAAAGACTTCCTCTCCTGGCCTATAAAGTAAAATAGAGGCTGGAAATAAAATAAGCAATTATATTTACCCCCAAGCATGCTAATCAAAAGCAAGCAGGGATAATCAGGGCAATTAAAAGAATGAGAGACACCTGCTCCATAAGCAGAAGGGGTAACACCCAGGTTTTAACCCTTAGGCTGTAGCATTCAGTAAGAGGGCACTGTCAATGTGTACACAGACCACAGTGACCCTCCTGGTCCAGAGGTAGCACAGTTTGAACCCCCCACCTGGGACTTAGCTGTCTCTAGGCAGTCTGCAAGCTGTGTCCCTGTCCAGGGGCTGACAGGGAGCAGCAGGGAGGTGCTCTATGAGACAAAAAGGGGCTTATCTCCTGTTACTTACCTGCTCAGAGACACTCTTGCCATAGTGGAGCATTGTCACAAAGTGCTCGCAGTTTTTGCTGAGCAGGTCATAAGGCACCTCCCTGTCAATGTAGCTCTCACCCTGCTTGATGATCTCCTTCACTGCGAGGGGAGTGTGGGAGCAGTCATACTTGTTGTTGACCTCCCAGTCATCAGTTCCCACCACATCCTTTAGGAGTTGCTTCTTCACCTTGGCCTTTTTGGTCAATATGGCCACAATGCCAGATGACTGATGTGGGATCCCTTCATCTGGGGGAAAGCAGGAAGGAGAGAAGCCAGACAGAACCTGTCTGGCCCTTCCAGGACCTCAGATGGGCTTCTGGCTGGTCCTGCAAAGGCCATCTACACACACAGAGGGTCAGTCCACCAGCCCATGGAGGGAGACAGGGCTCCTGGGGCACTTTAGCACCCCCTCTTCACCCTGCCAGGCTGCACCAGCCTTACCTTCGGACGTCACGTGGATGACATACCCATCGCCCAAGTAGAGAGCCCAGTGCTGATAAAGTGGTCGCTTGATCTCGATCAGGTCTCCAGGCTTGGGGTTCCGCTTGCCAAACGCCATCCCAGGAGCCTGCGGTCAGGACACGCTTTTGTAGCTGGGCTGGCTCAGCGCAGGGCTCAGCGGAGCGGGGAGGTGTGGGGTGTGCAGAGGCAGCTGCCGGGGCCGCAGGCACGGAGGGCGTTAGTGCCGGGCATCCGCTGCCGGAGCGGTGGCCCCTCCGCGCCGGACCGCTAGCGCAGGGCAAGGCACGGAAGAGCCGCCGCTCCCACCCAGAGGATGAGGTCGGCTCCCCCGCCGCCGTTCCCGTCTCCCCCCGCCGCCGTACGGTCCTGCGCTCCCCTCCCGCCCGCGCTCCCTTCGGGGCTCGGCTTGTGCCGCGACCGGGCCCGCTCAGCTGGCGGGACGCAGCTCCCCAGGCGTGCCCGCGGTGGCGAGCCCGTCCCCAGGCTCTGGGGCACCTCTGGCCCCTGACGGGGCTGCATCCTGCTGGCAGACGCCCGCTCGCATCCGCCGAGCTCCGCTCACCTTCGCCCCTGTCCCGCTTCTGCCACCACCGGGCTCCAGGCCCGCTCTAAATAGAGAGGGAGCGGGCACGCCCCGGGCAGGCGAGAAGGACACGGTCCTTCCCGGGGTGACTGCCGCCTCTGCCCGGGAACCGTCCCATCCTGCCCCGCCCCTGCGTTCGGGGGTCCGTTCCCGAGGGTGTTGCCAAAACCACACGTTGGCGGAAAATATGGTCCTGCCACCGAGAAAGACGGACCACCGCGTCCTCGCAAGTAGTCTCTACGTTCGAGCAGTGCTCCTTTCCAGTGAAGGGCAACAGCACTGACCCTGCACCTTGTTACTCTGCGGGGAGTTGTCTTGCAGAACAACCTCTGTTTGATGATTAAAGCCTGGCTTGGATACCAGTTAAACCTCCAGTACCGAAAAGGGCACAGGATGCTGCAGAAGGATCCCAATTGGCCTCGTGTAAAGGCAAAAGACTTTGCAGCAAAGAGCAGGGATGAGACCTACCCCACCTGCAGGCACAGTGACAGGCACTGGGTGAGACCATGCAGATGGGTGTGGGGCTGCCCAGTGCTGGGGCTTTACCAGCTTGCACTGAACAGCCCAGGTTTTCATCCTCGAATATGGACCAGATTCTGATGTTTGAAATCCTGCCCTTTTGGGACAGACTTGGCCCATTCTGGCTGCACTCTGAAGCTTAGACAAGGATTATTCTCTTGGCTGTTGGTAAAAGAACAGCCTTGACTTTACTCCATGGCAACCACAGGTCTCAGGTCTTGCTAACATCTGCTACAAAGGCTCAAAAAAACCCAAACACTGCTGGTCCTCCTCACACACTGACTTCGTGGTTCAGGCAGTGTTCAACCAAATCGTGTTAATTTGGTTTGATCACCCTAAGGTTGACTGCACAGACAAGCACAGTACAGGTACAAACCCCTGCATTCAGTGAAATGCTACAGCTTTCAAGAACTAAAAGAAAGTTCACCAGCTGAAGTAATTCCAGCATTCTTGTCCTTTACAGGGTGAAATGGAGATGTGAGAGGTGCGTGTACTGTCCTCACAAAGCACTTCCTTGCAATTCTCTGAGTACAGAACGGTTAAAGCTCACAGATTACTTTACAACCACCTAATTAGTTTATCTAATTGTCTGGAGCTGGTAGACATGGACAGGAAGCCAAATAGCCCCCCTGTATTCCAGGAGGAAATAGTCACTGACTTACTGAGCCACCTGGATCCACACAAGTCCATGGGACCAGATGGGATCCATCCTAGGGTGATGAGGGAGCTGGCAGAAGAGCTTGCCAAGCCGCTCTCCATCATTTACCAACAGTCCTGGCTCTTTGGGGAGGTGCCAGATGATTGGAAGTTGGTGAATGTCACGCCGATCTACAAAAAGGGCTGCAAGGAGGATCCAGGAAATGACAGGCCTGTCAGCCTGATCTCAGTGCCTGGCAAGATTATGGAGCAGATCATCATTATGGAGCACCTATGGGATGGACAAGGGATCAGACCCAGCCAGCACGGGTTTAGGAGGGGCAGGTCCTGTCTAACCAACCTGATCTCCTTCTATGATCAGGTGACCCACCTGGTGGATGAGGGGAAGACTGTAGACGTGTCTATCTGGACTTCAGCAAAGCCTTTGCCACTGTCTCCCATAATATACTCCTGGAAAAGCTGGCAGCTCATGGCTTGGACAGGGGCACTCTCTGCTGGGTTTAGAACCGGCTGGAGGGCTGGGCCCAGAGAGTGCTGGTGAACGGGGCTGCATCCAGCTGGCGGCCGGTCACCAGTGGTGTCCCTTAGGGATCAGTGCTGAGCCCAGTCCTGTTTAACATCTTTATCAATGACTTAGATGAGGGGATTGAGTCCATCATCAGCAAATTTGCAGACGACACCAAGTTGGGAGGGAGTGTCGATCAGCTGGAAGGCAGGAGGGCTCTGCAGAGGGGTCTGGATAGGCTGGAGAGTTGGGCTGATTCCAATAGGATGAAGTTCAACAAGGCCAAGTGCTGGGTCCTGCACTTTGGCCACAACAACCCCCTGCAGCGCTACAGGTTGGGGACAGAGTGGCTGGAGAGCAGCCAGGCAGAAAGGGATCTGGGGGTGCTGATTGACAGGAAGCTGAATATGAGCCAACAGTGTGCCCAGGTGCCCAAGGCCAATGGCATCCTGGTCTGTATCAGGAACAGTGTGGCCAGCAGGACGAGGGAAGTGATCCTTCCCCTGTACTCAGTGCTGGTGAGGCCACCCCTGGAGTGCTGTGTCCAGTTCTGAGCCCCTCAGTTCAGGAAGGATATTGAGGTGCTGGAGCAGGTCCAGAGAAGAGCAACCAGGCTGGTGAAGGGACGTGAGCACAAGTCCTATGAGGAGAGGCTGAGGGAGCTGGGGTTGTTTAGTCTGGAGAAGAGGAGGCTCAGGGGTGACCTCATCACTCTCTACAACTCCCTGAAAGGAGGTTGTAGCCAGGTGGGGGTCGGTCTCTTCTCCCAGGCAATCAGCAGCACGACAAGAGGGCACGGGCTTAAGCTCTGCCAGGGGAGGTTTAGGTTGGATATTAGAAAGATGTTCTTTACAGAGAGAGTGATCAGGCATCGGAATGGCCTGCCCAGAGAGGTGGTGGATTCACCGTCCCTGGAGGTTTCTAAGATGAGGCTGGATGTGGCACTGAGTGCCATGATCTAGTAATCATAGTGGGGTTGGATCAAGGGTTGGACTTGATGATCTTGAAGGTCTCTTCCAACCCAGTTAATTCTATGATTCTATGGTCTGTGCAAGAAGTTTTGATTACATTTCCAGGAATCAAGAAAGGATCTCAGTTTTATGATAATATGTTTTCCTGTATTAAAAATAAGAACTTCATTCAAATGTAATAACAAAGGGCAGTACAAAACATGACCAGAGGTCTTGGCTTTGTTATTTCAAACACTGAAAAACAAACACTGAAAAAAACCAGTGAAATATTTCCTTGTTTTACTTTGCTTGCTTTTGGTTTTGCTTTTGGTTTTGCTTTTGGTTTACCTGCTAAATCATGGTTCTCTCAACCCACAAGTTTTTTCACTTCCACTCTTCCGGTTTTCTCCCCAGTCCAGATGGTAGGGGAGAGAATGAGCAGCTGCCTGGTACTTAGTTGCTGGCTGGGGTTAAACCTTGACAGCACGTGAAGAGCAGATAAAACCAGCAAGCCTCTTACAGACAGCTGTTTTGCTCTCATCTCTCCTTACAGCTCAGGCTTTGAAAATGGTCCATGCAGTGATATCACTGTCAGAGCAGGAGGTGTCCGTGGCCTCCCCATGGCCTTCACCTCCCAAATATTCCCAGCATCCAGTGTGTGCCAGAGTTGATCAGGTGAGTTTGCTGGGTGCAGTCATGTGGTGCTGCTGCCTGCTCGATGCTCGGTGTGTGGGGTTGTGGGTGGGAGTGCACTTCTCTCAAAGGTGCTGATAAACCAAACTTTATTCCTCAGTAACTGTATAAAATACAGAAGAAGAGGGGTTTGAATTGGTTTTGATCCTCAAACTCCAGTGCTGAGAGTTTTTTTGTGGTATTAGGAGGGCTTTGCTCATGGTAACTGGTATTTCTGGAACAGGTACAGGAGTAGAGTCACATGAAAGGGCAAAATATAACTGTGACCACAGAATAGATTTGTTTGCCATTTCTTAAAAAATGTTTATTGATAAACTGAAAACAGGCATGGAGCAGCCAGCAATAATGCCATTTAATGAAATGTATGTGAAGGTAATTACCTGTTTGTGTAGAAATGTGCTTGATTCCCAGGACTGCTGAGCAAATTATTAATGAAAAAGCAACAGCAGCTTAAGCTGGGTATTAAAACCGTAGCTGTAGAATGTAACAAAGGAAAGAAGCCACTGCAGATGAGGGGTAGTGAAGTGACTGCAGTATTTTAAGGCAAAAATATTTGTCTATGGAATTTGACCTGTTTTCTATTCTTCTTGTAGAGCCTAAACCTGAAAGCAGAAACCATCTGCAGCACTAAACTTGCAGTATGGGAGCTGTTTGGGTTTGTGGTGTATGTTTGGAGCAGGGAAGGTTGAGATGCTTTAGTTGCTTAGCTGTGGTTCAACACCTGACTCTTAATATCCTGATTCTGTTTGTTGGTTCCACTCTGCTGTTTTGGGTAAGTGCTGCATACCCATTGTTTATCATACACTGTGCTCAACACAGGGTTTTATCCTTTGTGGTATCACTTTGTGGGGAGAAAGGTCACACAGGGTTTCAAGTTCAGCAAAGATGTGAAAAGCTGAGTCATTCCTGTAAGGGGTAGATTGGTTATAGAGACGTCAGAGTTGGGGGAAAAAAATCCCATGACATAACTTTAACTCTTCTGAAAGAATGAAGGGAATTAGAGCAGGCTGAGTCCTTCTTAGCTGGGTGGTGGAGGCACAGGAGCAGAACTTGCTGTAAAAATGGGGCTTTGGGAGAGTAGCTCCTTCCCTCTGTTGGGAAAAAAAACAAAACCAACTTGAAAAATGAATGAATGTCTCAGGTAGGTGAAGGGGGGTAGTTTTTATAGGTTAGCTAAATGTAGGAGATTTTTTTATTTATTTTTTGTATCATCATATGGTTCTGGAAGGCACGAGAGACACATCTCCCCTCTCTCAATGCAGGCCGGGGGCAGGGAGGGATGAGGGGTCCCTGCAGGAAATGCCATGAGAACTTAGGGGGATAAAACCTATTAGCACATGCTGACCTCACTCCATGGTTCCTGGGGATCTACCTCAGAGGGATTTGGGTCGCTTGCCCTCAGACCTGTCCCACATTCCAGGTTTGTGATTCCCTTGCTGGGCAGGGGCTCTCCCCTTCTCTGTGGCACCCGTGCTGAAAGGAACCCGGGAATTCCCTTTCCATTTTGTGTGTTGTGGGTGGCACCCGATTGCCTGCTCCAGGAGCTATTCCCGCTCCAGCTTCGGGGTTCCCTTGTAGGACCGGAGCTCTCCTGTTGCCACGGCCACTGCCCTGTCCTGAGGACTGCTGGCCCTCGACGGCTGTGGCTGCAGCTGCACTCGAGGGACTTGAGAGCGTCCCTCCTTCCCAGGCCTCCTTCCCAGGCTCTCCTGTCCCTAGATGTATTTTCAGTCCTCCTGGCCCTCAAGCTTGCAATCTGCCTCTTCCTCTTCCTCGCTGGCATTTATACTGTGCACAGTGGTATGCATGTAATCACAAACAAAATGTGCATTTCCTTTTCATGTCATGTATTTTGCTGGCCCTTTAGTTAAGCATATGGAGGAGAAGTCAACTTGGGAATGAATTTGCTGATCCGGTACTGATTGGGCAGCTGTTTGCATTGCATGGCCTGGTTTTGGTAGAAGAGGGGGGCTACAGGGGTGGCTTCTGTGAGAAGCTGCTTGGAGCTTTCCCTGTGTCTGACAGATCCAATGCCAGCCAGCTCTGGGATGGATCCAGCCCTGGGGAAGGCCAAGCCAATCAGGGATGGTAGTGGTGCCTCTGTGATAACATGTTTAAGAAGGAAAAAAAAGTTATTGCACAGATGTGATTGAGCTCAAAGAGAAGAGGAATGAGATGTGAGAGGAACAACTCTGCAGACAACAAGGTCAGTGCAGAAAGAGGGGATGAGGTGCTCCAGGTGCCAGAGCTGAGATTCCCTTGCAGAGCTGAGATTGCCCTGCAGCCTGTGGGGAAGACCATGGTGACACAGCCTGCCCCCTTGCAGCCCATGGAGGTCCACAGTTGAGTAGAGATCCACCTGCAGCCTGTGGAGCAGACCTATACCAGAGCAGATGGATGGCCAGAAAGAAGTCTGTGATGCCATGGGAAGCTCATGCTGGAGCAGGCTCCTGGCAGGGACCTGTGGACTTGTGGAGGGCAGAGCCCACACTGGAGCAGCCTGTTCCTGAAGGACTGCAGCCCATGGCAAAGTGACCCACATTGGAGCAGTTTTTGAGGAACTGTAGCCTGTGGGAAGGACTCACTTTGGGGAAATTCATGAAGGACTGTCTCCCATGGGAGGGACCCCACACTGGAGAAGGGTAAGGTCTCCTCTCCCTGACATGGAAGCAGCAGCAGAAACAATCTGTGATGAATTGACCATAACCATGCCCTGTCTCCCTGTCCCACTGGCAGGGAGCAGGTAGAGCCCAGGAAAGAGGGAGGGGTGTGGGGAAGGTGGTTTTAAGATTTGTTTTGCTTCTTATTATCCTACTCTGATTTTGACTGGTAATAAATTCAGTTAATTTCCGCAAGTCAAGTCTGCTTTGTCCATGATTGTAATCGCTGAGAGATGTCTCCCTGTTCCTTAACCCATGAACCTTTTGTTATATTTTTTTCTCCCTTGTCCAGTTTCAGAGGAGAGTGATAGAGCAGCTTTAATATGCAGCCAGGGCCAACCCACCACAGCCTTTCAAACTTCTCTTACAACCTGCTAACAAGAATGTGAGTAGTGAGGCAGTTCCTTCTCTTCTCAAAACAGTATGCAGCAACCAGAAGAAAAAAGCACTTGCAGCTCGCTGAGCTTTTCTTCCTCACAGAAAAAAAGAAGCACAATGGGGTGGATTGTGGATTTGCATGTTGGAGGAGGCTTGTTGGCTGGAGAAGTGAGTGGGCAGGGATTGCTGTTGCATCCCCTCACATCCCTTTGGAGCACCATGAGCTCACACAGGCCTGAGCCACCTCAGCCCTCCCAGGCACTCATCCAGGGCACAGTGCAGACAGACAGCTGCTGCCAGCTGTGCTGCCCAGGCTGGGAATGGCCAAGCCCTGTGGCTCCTCTCTGAGCTTCCTGCACAGGATGCATTCGGGCGGAGGCCTGGCACTAGGGCAAGCACAGAGGGAGGGGAAGTACACATGTGCATCAGCTGTGGCTGCCCAAAAGTACTTGGGCTCCAGGTTCTGCCCCAGGCACCTGATCTGCAACTTTCAGCAGTAGCCTAAGATAGGCAGATCCATGCCATGGGGAATCTGGCATCAAAACTTCCCAGATCTCTGTGACAAAGAATTGATGTTGCCTTCAAGTGCCTCCTCCATGCTTGCCACTTGGAAAATGTTGGACATCTTCTCATATCATTAGGAATAGATGCACGTCTTGGCAAGGGATTTAAATCTAATGGCTCTCCATGTCTTTTCCAACAGTCTTTTTGCACTCCTGTAATCTGGAGTGTCTTATCTGATCTTATGTCTTGCTGGTGCTCTTGGTCACCTTTTGTGTACCTCTTTTAAAGAGGTGAGTGCATCTGTTTACCAACCATTCCCTGGACTGAAACAGGGGTTGGGTCTTTCTAGCCCAATCTGCAGCAATGCTCTCCTCTTGTCATTGCATAAACCCTCAGGCCTTTTTTTTTTTCCATTAAGACTCAATGTATGTCAGCCAAATCCACTTTAGGCAGCCTTGGGGATGATTCAGAACACAACCCTTAAGCCTTTAGAGAGGGAGCTGTCGTGCAGCTGCCTGGGAGGAGCACACTGCCTGGCTCACAGCGGGAGCCAGCCACAGCATGGATCAGCTGCTTGGCAGTGATTTTGAAACGTCTCTTTCCCTTTTGTCTCACAGTTGACCAGGCTGGAGACTGTGCTGGGTTGTGTCTTAGATATTGCAGTAATACCTGAAGTGCTCTATGGGCTGGTACAAAAAATGGCAGAGAATGCTGCAGATGGATCCCAAATGGCCTCAAATAAATGCAAAAGACTTTGCAGCAAAGAGCAGGGATGAGATTTGCCCCACCTGCAAACACAGTGATGGGCACTAGGTGAGACCCTGGAGCCAAATGTGGGGCTGCACAGTGCTGGGGCTTCCCCAGCTCGCAGTGAACAGCTCGGGTTTTCATCCTCTGATGTGCAGCAGATTCAGATACTTGAAATCCCTACACCACCCCACCTACTTAGGAGCAGGCTGGGCCCATGCTGGCTGCGCCCTGGAGCACAGATAAGGATTAATCTCTTGGTTGTTTGTAAAACAACATCCTTGACTCTACTCCCTGGCAACTGCAGGAATCAAAAAAGGAGTTTCAGTTTCAGTTTTATGATAATTTTATGATAATTTTCACGTATTAAAAATAAGAACTTTATACGAAGGTAATAACAGACAGTAGTAGGAAATACGACCGGAAATCTTGGTTTTGTTATTTCAAACATTAGAAAACTGATGCTGAAAAGAGCAGTGAATCAATTCCTTGTTTTACTTTGATTGTGTGCACAGGAAGTTTTTTGATTTCAGCTCCTGCTGGTAGGGGAGCGAGCTTACTGGTTGGCTGAGGTTAAAGCTCAACAAGATATTAAGAGCAGATAAAACCAGCAAGCCTCTTACAAACAGTTGTTTTGCTCTCATCTCTCCTTACAGTCCAGGCACTTGCCTGAAACAAAAGCAACAGAGGATTCGATTTCTTACAAGTGGACTGCAGTGAACAGGCTTCCAAACACTTAGGCCAGATACTCCAGGAAAAGAGAAGCAAACCACACTTTCCCAAAAGAGTTTTCTTCTCAGACAATCCACACATCAGCTTTCTGACAAGGAAAGAGCAGGGCTCAATACCTTTGGAGATGAGCAATAGGTGCCTCACAGATCATTCCCCACATACATCACCCCCAGCACTGCAGGGACCCCAGCTTTGCCTTTCTGCTGGCTGGGCAAAGGTTGATCTGCTGATTATGAACTGCTTGAAATCCACTTCTGGTCACTGAAGAGACAATGGTCTCAGATGTGGGGAAAAAAGCCTCCTTGCCATCTCCAGTGGTCTTTCTCTAAGCCTCAGTGCTTTGGCAGCCCAAAGAGTTGAATCATAGAGTGGGTTGGTTGGAAGGGACCTTAAAAGTCATCTAGTAAGCTTGCTCAGGCCAACATCACTGGGCTTACAGGGGTGATGAGGGAAAGTGTGATGTCACAGTGGAACAAATAGCTGACTGAGACAGAGCCAGCTGGGTTTTTTTGGTCAGACTTTCCCAGACTGGTGGGGTGTGATGCTCCCAAAGGGAGTCAGAGGAGCCACTGCAAGGGGCACTTTCTAGGCATGCAAAAATGAACAAAACACCATTATAGAGCCTATAAGATCTGCCCTTCCTTCCTGCCTCCCACCCTCCCAGGAGCTGCTCAGTTCAGGCACTGCAAGCACCTGCTCTAAAACACTTTACATGCCTTGCTTGCACTTTTATTCAAGCCTGGGAACCAGGAGTTCTCTACCTATGCAGGCCCTCAGCTGGAAGACACATAGTATATGCTCAGCAATACTTTTATTTTGTCAGAAAATTAAGGTTAAAATCCATCACACACAGAAAGAGCCTACAGGAATCATCTGAGAAAAAGAGGATGTGGGTAGAAATCCTACACCTGTCCTCAACAAAGCACTGGAGAGGAGATGACAGGGAAGGAATGGATACTTTGCTTGTAAGTGCTCTCAAACTACCACAAAAGTCATCATAAGCAATGGAAAAAAAAGCAGATAGGGCAAACAAGCTGGTGCTGCTGAGGTCACTTTGAATGGTGACGCTCAACTTACTTTCTAAAGGGATGGGAGAAGGAAGGCTGAAGTGTTTAATTCATACACAAAGCTACGCTCAAATGCAAAGAAGAGGATTTTATGGCAATATTATTTTGGGGTTTTTTTAGATTTTATTAAGGCTTTGATTTGGTTATTTCAGCAAGAGTGGCTGCTGTTAGTATGCCCCCGTGGCAGTTGTGGCAGAAGCTGGGCAGTGACCCTCCATGGCCACAGGCTCCTGCTTTGCTCTGAGCTCTTCCTGACAACCCGTCAGTACTCCTTCTCTCTGGATTTGCCCCTGAGCAAGCCCACCAAGACAGTGGAGGCAACAGCAACAGCTCCTACTGCCAACATGCTACCAATTGCTATCTTGGCCTGTAAAGGGAAAGGAAAACACAGGCTAGAATCATGATAAGTAATTATATTTACCCCAAGGCATGCTATTTAAAAGCAGGCAGGGATAATCAGGGCAATTAAATGAATGACAGACATCTATCCCATAAATAGAAGGGTTACTGTGGCATTCAGGAAGAGGGCACTGTCAGGGTGCACACAGACCATAGTGACCCTCCTGGTCCAGGGTCTCTGGTGAAGCCAGAGTGCTGGTTTGGACCCCACACCTGGGACTTGGCTGTCCCCAGGCAGCCTGCAGGCAGTGCCCCAGTCCAGGGGCTGACAGGGAGCAGCAAGGAGGTGCTCTGTGAGGCAAACAGGGGCTTACCCCATGTTACTTACCTGGTCAGAGACCCCCTCGCCATAGCGGAGCATTGTCACAAAGTGCTCACAGTTTTTGCTGAGCACATCATAGGGCACCTCCATGTCAATGTAAAGCTCAGCATGCTGGATGATCTCCTTCACTGGGAGAGGAGTGTGGGACTGGTCATACTTGTTGTTGACCTTCCAGTCGTTATTTTCCACCACCTCCTTCAGGAGCTGCTTCTTCACCTTGGCCTTTCTGGTAAATATTGACATGGTGCTCACCAACAGGGATGGAGCCCCTTCATCTGGGAAAGGCAGGAAGGAGATAAACCAGGCAGAACCTCTCATGCCTCTTCAAGACCTCAGATGGGTTTCTGGCTGGTCCTGCAAAGGCCATCTACACACACAGGGTCGGTCCTCCACCAGCCCACGGAGGGAGACAGGGCTCTCACCAACACACTCTGTCAGGCTGCCCCAGCCTTACCTACAGGAGTCACGTTGAGGACATATCCATCGCCCAAGTAGAGAGCCCAGTGCCGGTAAATTCCTCGGTTGATCTCGATCAGGTCCCCAGGCTTGGGGTTCCGCTTGCCAGATGCCATCCCAGGAGCCTGCGGTCAGGACACGCTTTTGTAGCTGGGCTGGCTCAGCGCAGGGCACAGCGGAGCGGGGAGGTGTGGGGTGTGCAGAGGCAGCTGCCGGGGCCGCAGGCACGGAGGGCGTTAGTGCCGGGCATCCGCTGCCGGAGCGGTGGCCCCTCCGCGCCGGACCGCTAGCGCAGGGCAAGGCACGGAAGGGCCGCCGCTCCCACCCAGAGGATGAGGTCGGCTCCCCCGCCGCCGTTCCCGTCTCCCCCCGCCGCCGTACGGTCCTGCGCTCCCCTCCCGCCCGCGCTCCCTTCGGGGCTCGGCTTGTGCCGCGACCGGGCCCGCTCAGCTGGCGGGACGCAGCTCCCCAGGAGTGCCCGCGGTGGCGAGCCCGTCCCCAGGCTCTGGGGCACCTCTGGCCGCTCGCCAGACCCCCATCCTGCTGGCAGACCCCCGCTCGCATCCCCCGAACTCCGGTCCCCTCCGCCGAGCTCCGCTCCCCGCCCCTTCACATCGCCCCGCTCACTGCACCTCCCGTCCCGGGGCCGCCGCGACCAGACTCCTGACCCGCTGGCTCGCTATAAATAGGGAGGAGAAGGCGCTTGCGCAGATCCTGCCGGGATCACTGCCAGGGCTGTCCCGGAGCACCCCCGTCCTGTCCCGTCCCGTCCCGCCCCTCCTCTCCTCGCCCCTCCTCGCCGATGGAGGCTCCACTCCCGAGGGTGTTGGCTAATCCGCTCGCTGGGTGGAAAATCTGGTCCTGTCCCCGACGAAGACGGGCCACCGCCGCCTTGCCATCTCCTCCAGCCGCGCAGGGGTTCCGGTTCTACCCGGTCTTGCGGTGATTGAGCATCCCTCACCAGGAAACGTTCCGAAAGGGAAACGGTAAACGGTATGCTACCGTTCCACTTCTTCACTGTGAGGAGAAACAACAAAAAGATTTTTAGGATGGCTTCTTTTTTTTTTTTTTTTTTTTTTTTTTTTTTTTGACGCGGCCCAGGCATTTCTTTCAGGACATCAGCGGAATCTGATGATTGTGCCCAGCAATTCTTGATCCGAGAGGGATCCCGATCCCATACGGCCATATCCTTGGCTGTTACCTGCACGGTGTGCTAAAAAGGAAGGTTCACAAACAATAAAACTCTTCTGGGTGAGTTGAACTCAGCAGTGTATTTAAAGCCCAGCACTTAAAAAGTCAGGTGAGCAAACTGGTTTATTTAAAAGATGAGAGCAGAGGGAGATTTGTAATCTTTCTATCTTCTAGTGACATGAATTAGTTAAATCAGTGGAGCACTGAGTGGCAATTCTTTCTGTATTACGCCATACTTCAAGTCTGAATTATTTGGAAAGCTTTGCAAACAGTGGAAAGCCAGAGCTATTCTTGTGGTATTGACCAAAAAAAAATATACATGTAGAAACCAGAAATCTGCTTTACCTGAGCACAGCAGGGTTCTGTTGCCTGGGGGAACCTGGGATGGGATCCTGCAGGGCAGGGACTGGCCTGTGCTCCCACCAGTGCAAGGGGAGGTGAGTGTGGTCAGCACCACTCAGCAGTCACAGAATCACACTGTTGCAGGCACAAGAGTGCAATAGGAAGCTGCCACTGAAGAGGCAGGAAAGATAGCATTATAATCACGGTGAAATTCCAGCTGACAGTTCATTTGTGCACAAGTAGGTCTCTCTCGATTCATTTTCATTATGTAATGAGGTTGAAAAGCTTTTTCTATTCACACGCTCTCCAAAATAGCTGTGGCCTGTGTGGATGAACAGGCCACGTGAACAGTCTGGTGTGTCCTTGAATGGACCAGAATAACCTAACTCACTATGGAGACTGCAAATACTTCTCTGGCTAACAGTACACATGAATTTATGGATAAAAAGGAAAGGAGAAAGGATAAGTAAATAATAACCAGCATTATGGCAGAAACAATAGGAAGCCCACACTGTTCCTCACTGTAATCACTGTTAAGGAAACCCCTCTGTCCGACCACCCAGGAGCCCCTCTGGCAGACACACTCAAATCACCCGAGCTGGGACTGTCCATCAGAGCAGGTGGCCCCAGTGAGCCAATGGGTGCTCTGCTCGACTCCCTGTACACCCCACACTCACACAGTCAGACAAGGTTTCCTCCCTGGCTTGACCCCAGGTTTCCCTTAGCAGAGTCTCAGACACCTGGATCCTTAAAATAAATTGCAACAACAAAACAGCAGCTTGAGCTGGGTGCCTTCAAGGAGGGACCCCAGGAAAAGAAACCCTGCAGTTTTTATATCTTCACAGTGTAAGTGTGAAAGTCTACTGTTCCTGGCTCCTGCTGTGTCTCTGAGTCTCTGTTTGCCTGGCTGGTACCACAGGTCCCTGTGCCCTTTGTTATGTAAAAGGTTGGCACCAGTTCGGGGCCCCTTGCCTCTTGCACTGCAGCTGAGCTACAACACTATATGTATTCCTAAACAATCAAGAGGTAACCTGCAATGAACTGCAAAAACATCAGTAAAACCTTTGTGGTACTTACATCTCAAAGCTTCACTCACAGCACTGGAAATTCATTCTGGCCTTGTGCAAGGCCCAGGCAGTGCTTCAGTCCCTGAGCTTTGTGACTGGTCTGTTATGGGGTGGGTGTCACACAAGGTGTGTTACCAGGCCTTGTTGCAAACACCTTTGGTCTCCTGATGTAGGGGAGTCCTTAGTGTGGTCTGTAGCTAAGCGGGTGAAAATCTACTCTCACATTTATCATTTTGGCAGCTTCTGAGTTTGCGAAGACCCCCAGTGTTGGAGGTGGTTTTTGTGATTGTAAAGAACATAATTATGGTGGTTAAACAGCCTGTATTATAAGTGATTTTTAGGTGTGATATTATCGTCAAGCTGCAGCTTCAACTGTCATCATGTTGCAAGTTGGTTGCCATGGTCATCGTGCTCAAGAGCTAGTGTCAACTGTCATTGGACAGTTCGTGGAACCACAGCAGCTCGACCAATCCCTGATCTAACCTGTTACTATCCTACCCCTGCATACATATGTATATGCTCCCTATGTTTAGGTATTTTCCTATACCCAATCCTAGCTGGAGGATTAGCATACTCCTCCTATTCTCCTCCCATATTCCTGAACCTTCCTCCCCAATCCTTATATAAACCCTCCATTTTCTAATAAAGAGGATTCGGCTCGGTTGCTCCTTAGAAGTAGCTTTGCTGCTCCGGGGACTGCCGTTTGCACCTGACTCTGCCTCTTGCCATCTCTTTGGGAGCTGTGTGAGTGAGTGGGGATGTGAATGGCCCGGGCCCCCCTGAGCTAGCTGGCTGCCCTTTCACGTAACTTCGACTTTTACGTGACTCCAACACCCCAGGAGAGTTTATGGCAGGATCTCATTCTTCAGAAAGTTTGTGTTAAGTTATACTCTCACTTAGCCTCCACTGGGACTGATTACAACTCTATTTCTTGTACCCCTTGTCCTCTCCACCCTAATAGCAAGGAGGCAGTGCTCCTTCAAACAATCACTTCTTTCACTCCATCACACCCAAGGGGGACAATGGGTGTTATTTGTTTTAGTACATCTGTCCTCAGATGAACTCAGTGTCTTCTGTTTTATTTCTCTCCCTAGCTGGATATGCCTTGCCAGACAAGGAGTAAGAACTGTGTTCACGTCAGTCAGTTAATTCCCTCCCCATGGAAGGATTTGGGTGAGATGATCTCATGAAGACCTACCTGGGATGCTATAATTAGTTAATACAATGATAGAATGGTTTGAGTTGGAAGGGACTTCAAAGATCATCCAGTTTCAAACCCACTGCTGTGGGCAGGAACACCTTTCACTAGATCAGGTTGCTCGGAGCTCCATCCAACCTGGCCTTGAACACTTCCAGGGATGAGGCAGCCACATCTTCTCTGGGCAACCTGTTCCAGTGCCTTATCACCCTCACAGTAAAGAATCTCTTTCTAAAATCTAATCTAAACCTACTTCCTAATATCTAATATAAACATGCTCACTTTCAGTTTGAATTCTGACCACGTCAGTCTACAGTTTTGTACATCTCTCAGAGGTAAGTGATGGTGTGCAGCACACTTGTGCTGTCAGATTCTGTCTGGACTCTGTGTTTTTCAAACAGCCTTTGAAGACAACAGAGTCTCTTATGTCAGTTAGAACATATTCCAGTTTGGGTCTACAACATGAGATCCGAGGGTTATTTTAAATTAACTACTTCAAAGGTTTTCAAAAAATGCAATGATAAATTTATTATTATTTCTTCTCAAAGTATTAGAAATACAATTAAAATACAAGAGCAGAAAGTATGACAAATGAATTGGAAAAATATTGTTAACTATAGCTATGTATTTTCTGATTCATTTTGATCAAAGACACTGTTCACAATGCAGCCATAATCTTGTTCATGTGTTCTGGCATCCAATTCATCCCTGGACCACTTCAAAGAAGAATCTCTTGTTATTGTAGCTGTATCCACCTTTCTCCTGTACAATGAGAGGAAAAAAAAAACCCCAGAACAATCAATTTTAATTTCTATTCTTATCTATAGTAACCAATTTTAATTTATATTCTTATCTATAGTGAGAGGTCAAACAATGGTCAAAAGAGCTCCCAAGTGCTGTGGTTCCTTTCTGGTCCTGCAGGTATGTGACTGATGGGAGTTTTGAGGTTTACAGGTGCTAAAAGGGGTATATGTGTCTTGACTCTTTTGAATGTAGCAATGCTGGGAAAAAGCCTTACCTGTACAGGTACACTGTAGAGGAGATGAGAATGACAATAACAGCTACACCTGCCACGACTCCAATGACGATGGCAATTGTATGGTCCTTGGGGTCCTTTGTGTCAGGGTCTTCAACTGAAGAAGAAATAGGAGCCCTGTCAGTAAAAGCTGACCAAACTGTGAACAGAATTTTTTTTCTCAATCCTTGCCTATCTGTTTGTTTTACACCGTGTTCTCTGATGAATGTGGCTTTCTGAAGTGGTGTCAGAGTCAGATCCTGTGTACTCTACAGCCCTGCTGTCATGATTTCTGGCACCTCTCCACTAGGCATCTGACACTTCTTCCAACTCAGATGACCACTGGCTCTCACCCACTGGGTTGCTAATTTACATAATGGAAATTAAGACTAAGCTTAGTTTTCTTCATAATAACACCCATTTTTGAAAACAATGTCAGTAATGTAGACAGGGAAATCCAAAATAGTTTTATTACCTATCTTTTCAGCCTCACACTTAGGTCCTGTGTAGAGCTCTGAACATTCACAGTAAAAACGGAGAGAGGAGGTGTTGGTAGTTTCAGAGCAAACACCATCATTCTTACAAGGATTAGGCATACATGGTCCACCTAGTGAAAAGGAAGGAGAAACACCTGATTCTCAGATAATCCAATCCTGAGAAAATTGTTCTTGCTTAGATTACACTGACTCCTAATGCTGCACATTCCCTGTATTTTATAAGGCAGTTACTTGTATCTGACAACAGGAATACTGGAAAGAAACATTTTTTCTGCAAGGAAACATCAGAGCAAGACCCCCTACATTCTTTTCTTCTGTACACACTATCTTGAAACTATCCCCAGCCCGGTTTTGTCCTACAAGGTAAGTCAAGACTTCACAGCATCAAAGAAAATGTGATAGTGGTTGACTCACTCCTGTAGCATCCACGACTGTAGTTTGAAATTCCACAGATTTCATCAGACCCACATGCGTTGTCAGTGCAGAAAACAGTGGAGCTTTCTGTGCAATGGCATATCTGAGAGCAGTCATCGGTGGTGAATATTTCTCCAATCTGGAAGACAGCAGTGAGATGTTAAGAATATAAAATAAAATCAGCCAGAAAAAAACATGAATAGAGCATGGGGCCCCATTATAGTCTCTCCAATGCTTTCCTGATGAACAGCAACAGGACAGGTGTTTTTTTTTTCAATTAGTTTGTACAAATAAAACAAGCAGCTTACTAATCCAGCTGTTTGAAACTAGAGGATGGCCCAAGAAAGAAGGCGAAAGAAGAATTTGAGGTAGGAGATCCTAGTCCCAGGTGGGTGCAACCAACAGTGTCTAACTGTTGCTGGAGATAAGGGTGGCACATGCATCACATCATACCTCCAAGGCAATGTGGAAATGCTATCTTCCGTTTTAATTAGAAGTGCCACCTGCTGATAGTGTCTCCCTCCTCCAATAAAAAAATGTTTACTGGCTTAGGCCTTTTTGGTACCAAATCTCTAGTGTTAAAGCAGAAATATATGAGAGAATAAAGTTGTTCTATCCTGCAGTGACAATGGAGGATTCTCCTCAGAATCCAGCCTTGCTCAGGGCTCTCTTCTTGTCCTCCCCAGCTCTACAGTCTTGCAACACTACCTACATCACTCTTTACTGAGTGGGACCACAGTGACCCACAGAATTTCTCTGTAACTGGTATGTTGTAAACTTTAGTGCTTATGAGGCTATTATTTAGCCTAATAAAGGTGAGGCATTAACATGGAGGTCAGAGTGCAATCATATACTTTCTCCAAGACTGCCTTGAGTATTCTGGCAGACAGAGTTTCAGAGGGAGACCAAGGAATCTCCTCTCTCTTCCCTTTCTCCAGAAACCAGAATTTTATTTCAACAATTGCTCTTTGTTTCTAATGCAAAATTACATGCTGAGGATTACGAGGATATTGTCAAAATAACTAATGGAAGAAAATACTGTTTAGTGCTGTGGGTGCTGTCTGAGCCACAGAGAGATTGTATGTACCTCATAGTATTTGTTCAGGTATGTGCAGCCACACTCTTTGTAAGGCACACAGTCAAAACCGCTAAGAACATAGCCAGAGAGACATTCACAGCCTTCCACACAAGGTGATTCACACTCAGAGGGGCTGGTCAGGTCGTTGCAGGATGCTGGGCATGCAGACATGCATGAGCTGTAGTTGCTGTTGGCAGGACATGATATACCTGTAAAAATAAGGACAGTCCAGTTATACCAGGCTGCTGTGCATTACTTAAATATAGAATTCCCTTTCAGGTTCAGAAAGCATAATTTTGTAGGAGACCATATGATGAACATACATACTCAGAGATGTGCATACATATATAATAGTACTGAAGTTGTAAGTAAAGCACTCCAAAGTCAGGAAATGCATCATCTAAGCTACTTATATAATGTGGTCTCATTCCTAATATACACCGATCTCAAAACAGCTTCCCACACATTCAGGGTAGCCATCCCTGCAAGTGCCAGATCTGTTCCACAACTTTGGGAACTATATTTCACCAGGAATACAGAGTCATAGGAAACACAGGGAAAATATGGTTTGATTACTCTCCCAACCTCCAAAAAAATTAGTAAAAAAAAAGTTTGAAATTATTAAAAGTTTTATTTCAGTAATTTTTAGTCTGAAAAAGTTAGTGTTTTCAGTTGAATCTTTATTTATCTTGAAATTACACAGGCAAAAAAGATAGTATATTTTGTAGATTTTAAAGGAGATTGAAATTAAATATTTTTCCTTTAGGTTTCTAGCTTGTAAATGGTCTACAATTTTTTTTTTTTGGTCCCATTGGAAGGGGGACATTTTTTCTCTCACAGAACTTCTGATGATAGGGAGCTGAGAGCTTTGATTTCCAGAGTGTCTTTGTAAGCTGGGATCTAAATGTAAAAGTCAGCATAGGACACAGAAGAGAGGCCAGAAAGGCAAATGTACATGTTAAACTGTGAAGACTGAGTGAAGTGAGAATCAACATGTTTTTTACTCCTTGAGAAGTTTTGATAAATGGTATGACTAGGAAAAGCCTTAAACCTCATATTTTGAGAGTCCTATAGGCAGAGCCCATACTTCCCATTTCTTCCCATCTTACCACAAACTGTCTGTTGTCTCCAGCCATCCATACTGACTCCTTGCTGCTGACAAGCCAGCACATATTCCTCCAGACTGCGACACAAGGTAGTGACCTCATCTCTTTCCACACACATATCAAACAGGCAGCTCCTATGTGCCACATGACAAAACATTAATTTCCAGTATATTTGTTGTTGCTTATTTTCGTCTGATTTTCTGCCTGACTCTGACTTAGTTCTGTTTTCCAGTATCTTCCTTACAGGAAACAGAGGATCAAAAAGCACCCAGACACATAATTGGAAGATCGGGTCATTTGTTGTGCAGCTGCTGCTAATATGTGAGGTGTTCATATAGAATCATAGATCATTAAGGCTAGAAAAGACCTCTAAGATAATCAAGTCCAACCTTTAACCTAACACTGCCAGGTCCACCACTAAATCATGTCCCTACATTGAAAATTTTCCTAATGTGCAATCTTGGAACAAGCAATAAAGTGTTACCTGACTTAACACAATCAGTTATTCTTTGCTGTCTGCTTCTGTTTTGAGCTACATCTTGGTTGTAGAGCATTTTTTAGCACTGCTAAGTCTTACAGCTGGCCTACACACTTCTTTCAATACACGGGTACTCTCCCCATGTCCACATGCCTTAATATTGACAAAGAATGCTGTTTGTTTGCCAGTGCTACTTTCTCAGCTTTGCTCATCATTTGCATATCCGTGGTCTGATTTTCAGAGGCACTGAGATCCCAGATGAATGGAATCTGAAAATATGCAGTGCCTCAGTAAGACCAGGGCACCGCTAGACAGGCAGAACAGGCTGCCTAACCAAATTCTAGAGTAAGGAGAAAAGTTATATTAAGAATCAGCATATGTACATTGAAATCAGTGGTCCACTTTATTTGGCTTAAGACAGTGTAACATTGCTGTCACAGATAAGAGGTGGGCATTGTCTATCTTTAAATACTAAGTACAACTATGTGACAAAAGAATACTGGCAGCTACTTGTCATATTTGTGACTGATGATGGATGAATGATGAATGTGGGGATGAATACAGCTCAAGATTAAGTATGTAGGACTTGCATAGGTAGGAGGCAGAGCAACCCTGAAACAGAGCTGAGGGAACTTTCTTAAAGATACCAGGTAAGTTACTCTTCATTACTCTGGTTTTTGTACTTCTCCATGAAAAATTCAAGAAGTGTCACTGACAATTTCAGCTTTTGGCTATAGCATGATAATGATTTTATGAAGCTAGAATTGCTTAAAGGAAGCCAATAGACCCAGATGCTAAATTCTCACTGAATGTAGATGAGAACTGTAGGCACACAGGAAATTCCAAGCTACAGGTATAATGCTTAACACTACTGCTTTATCTGTGTGCAAAAAGAGGAAAGCTACTCTATAGAGCTAACAGAGAAGTAAACTCTAAATAGATGAAAGAAAGGCCATCACATTTATTTAAAAATAAATAATGGTATGTAAATATATCAATAATGGAATCACTGGGCCCAGTTCTCCAAAGACACTTATTATCCTCAGCTCCTATTAATACCCTTGAGACCGAAGATGCAAAGTTCTTGTCAGAAACTATTACCAAAATGATTTTGCAAATTGGGAGAACAACTGTCTGCAGTAAACACTTACGTGAAATAGAAATCTGGTAGGACTGTAGAATGACACTTTGCAAAAGGACCATTCAAGTCAGTCAGGATTTGACATCTTGAAGTTGCATTTTGCTGCTCCAGCTGATTTTCATTGCAACCTTGGAAAAGTCCTGGATCTGGCTCCTCCTCAGACTCATTTTCTGAGTTGACATCTCGTCTATAAATGAAGTCATTATGAAACCATCAGTGTTCTATGTACATCCAGCATTCATGGTACTAGTCTCTAAGAAACACTGCAGGAATACTTTTGCCTTATAAATGTAATAATAATGGCCAGTCTTCGCGAGCGAAGATCCGGGGAAGGTCTTTCCACCTTCCAGCCTGCGCATTGGATTTTTTAGGTGAGACACAGTGTGCGCGGAACTGAGCCCACCCTTTAATCCTAAGGTTCATCTGCCGGGGCCAAGCGAGCTTGGACAGTGGCAGCGAGGTCCTTAGGACGTAGGTGGGTTGCCTTTAAGAGCTAACGAGCCCCACCTGCCTGGGAGTGGCCCTGACCGGGAATCGAACCCGGGTCTCCGCGGTGATAGCGCGGCGCCTTTACCACTGGACCACCAGGGGCTCCCTTATAAATGTAAGTGTAGGCTTATTTATCTCTCATGATTTATCCTGAATGGGGAGGACATAGATGTAGCAAATCAAAGATATGCTGGAACACTTCCTATGATCTCAGAGATTTATGATATTTAAATTAAAGGGGATGTCTGTAGTTCTCTCTTTGGAAATTCTGCATGACACAGAATGCCTCCTTCATCCAATCTATTCAACAAAATTGGAACATTAATCAGAAGGATACAGCTTTATTACAGCTCAAGTAAACCCCTGTTCCATGGGAAAGACTGACATTAAATCAGGATTTACACTTGCTTAGGCCCATGTGGTATAGCATGTACTTATTTTTGCCAGTAACCATGAGCTTGGCAAAGATGTTTTTTATCCCTGTGCCCCAGCAATTGTAATGGCTGTGACTCCAAAGAGGGATGCTGAACTGCAGTAATGCAGTAATTCAGGCCTCTTTTGGTTAGATAGAAGGGCACTGATAGTTCACCTTAGTGATGAGCAGGAGAAGTCCCTACACACAAACAAAGTGAAGAAGAACGACCAGAAATAAGTCAGTGTAATTATTCCTGGAGCTTAACTATGGCTTAATTCACTCACTTCTAGAGGCAGTGCTTGCCATGGATATTAAGTAGAAAAACAAGTACCTGAGACGAGAGCTTCTTTTTAAAGGAACTTTCCAACTTTCACCGAATACATTCACATTCTTCACCCAAACACCATCTGGATTTGTGAAGTCATTTCTATGTCTCCCATCAAAGTCACCACATAAGCCTTCCACTCTGCTTCTGTAGGTATTGGCCAGCTTTATATCTAGGAAAGGTCAGAAGAAAAAAAAAAAAAGCTGTTACACAGAAATCATTGTCTCTGAGTGTATGGAAGAGGTGGAAAACAATGCCAAGTGTCACATTTTATGACTCAGTTTGTAACATGACATGGCCTTCACACGTAGCATGTGACTACAGCCCTGAACATACTTATTCGTACATTTATTCATGGTACTGTTTCTGTGCTCTGCAAAATGGATCATGAAAAAAGGAATTTCTTGCAGTAATTTCTTATAATATGTTATTATATAACACGACATCATTGCCCAAGTACTCTTAGTGCATGCTGCTTATTGCTTTTCAACAAACTGAATGCATCAGCCGCTTTTTGCCCTACATTCACAATCCACTTGACCACTGAGAAACAGTATAACAGAATTCCTACAAGCAGACTGTTTCTTTCTGCAGTTGGAATTTTAGGGTTGGGAGTGAGGGTCACATAAATAAATAGCCTGGCCCTTTCACCATACACTTAGGAACAATATAGCTATATGCTGTTGTAAATCAGGATTAACTTTGGAATGAGAATATGTTTTGAGACAGTGCATAAATAATTCTGCCCTTTTTTTTTTAGTATCACTTACCTGCGTTTTGGTTGCCATCAAAACTCACATATAAGCCAAAATCTGTCTCCAGGAAAATTCTTGTTGTCCTCTGATATATATGAATACCTTCATGAGGTCGAAGAGAGGGTCTCACCCTGACACCATCCAACTAACAGGGAAATAAATTAAAATTCATTTTATATAGGCCAAATTAAAATCTAGCTTCAGTAGAGGTCAACGCTACAAATCAACTTTTCTTGCTTTTCATGAGAAATGTATGAGATAATTTAATCCCAAAAAATCTCAGTATTTAATTTTTCAAAGTTAACAAAATCATATATTGAGGAAAATGATGTGGACACAGTACTTTCATATCATCATAAGAGATTTCTATTATTGAGCTAAAGTGTATATAGGGGCTATGTATATTCTTACACACCAATAAAGGGGAAAAAATTTAAATTATCCTAGCATAATTCACACTTTCCCCTACCACTGATAAAAATTTGTGTGGCTTTATTGTAAGTCTTGGGATAGTTGGTGTTTTATCCCCAAAACTCTATTTATACATTTATTTGTTTGAAGTAGAATTATATCCTTCATAGCTACGGAGAAAAAAGACTCAACACAACTGAGAATCTCATTTGTGGTTGCCTCATAGCACTGCTGTAATAATACCGCTTAGTACTTCAGTATTTTAATTCTTCAGAACAAACATTTATTACCCAAAGATGTTTTACTCCAAGGAAGAGTCTTTCTCCATGTTCTGCTATCAGGGAGAGACTTACCAGAACCTGCTTGTTCTGCCTGAATCGCACTGTGTGGTTGTAAACATTGATGAGAATCTCTTTCAGGTAGGTAATGTGTCGACTTCGATGTAAAGGAGAGTTTATGCCTTCAATACTGAACTGTGTCAGGGTATCAGGTAGGTCAGAGATGGTCTGAGCCACAATATATGTGTATTTCCCTTGGAAGTGGTGCACCAGACCGTCAAAGGTGATGTAGTGTGGGTCGCCCATGATCTGGCATCTCCCAAAACCTAAAAAGGAAGAGCTTCATTACTCATTACTTCATTACTTACAATTCTCTGTATTGAACCAGAACTTTCTATTATGACAAATGAGGCTTTTTATATTCAATAATGTGTCATCAGTAACACTATCAGAGTTTCCTTCTTTCCCCTTGAAAGTCTGGAATTGCCATGGAACAAAGAATGGGCACACACATTCTCCCTCCTTCTCCAACCCTCATGGAACATCAAATGAAGACTTGCTTGCACATACCCGTTGGATGGCACTTGTGTTTTCCATTTTTGATCACACAGGTTTCTCTAGAATCACAGCTATAGCTCTTACAGCTGATGACTCCGTTCTTCTGACACTGGCATCTTTTGTTGCAGTGTGGAGTTATCCATGTCTCCCCAGCCTAAATACAAGTTGTGGTGATAGTATGTTATCAAGGTTTTCAGCTTTGCAATGCAACAAAAGTTCAACAGCTAAGGGTGTGGAGACAGGTTAGGTGCAGCCTGTCCAGTTGGTGATTCCACAACTGCGCAATCCAAGTGTAGTCTCACCAAGAGTTGTGGGAGTGGGGATCTCAGTCCATTTATCTTACTGTCTTTGACATGAGAATTTGAACACAAAACAGGATAGGACAGACTGACTGCATATCTCTGATCTGAAAAAAATCTGTTTTCAAATATGCCTGAGTTTTGGCCTCAGGTGCGAAGTACCAAGCAAGCTTCTGCATCTCCTAATACCCAAGCCTGCAGCTTTTACTCATCAGATAAAAGGTATTTAAGAGGTAGACTCTGAAGACTTTGATTTTTCTCTCTCTGTCTCTCTCTCTAATATTAAGATAGTCAGGAGACCAACTTTCTACACATTTTGAAGCCACAGATCTGCTCCACAAACAAACTACTTACACTGTAGTAATTGTTGTCATCATCCCTGCAGCCACAACTGCTCAGAGGCACGCAGTTGCCATTACTGAGCACATAATTATCATCACACTCACAGCCCTCTGTACACTCTTCTGTCTTGTCACAAAGGGAAGAGGCAAAAATGTCATTGCATGTTGATGGACAGGCGGAGACACAGTCTTTGTAATGGCTCCGGGATGGGCAGGGCAATGCTGTATGGGAGAATAGGAGCAGTGTTATTAAATATACATTTATATTTAAGTTTACATTTACTAAGTGCACTGCAAACACTGAAAGCTACACGTTGGCCTATGAAATGGTAGTACAGAATTGCCTTTTAATAGCTGATTTTGATGATCAACCAATTTTAATTTTTGTACTTTACTTTAAAAACCCTGAACTAACCAAAACAAAACAAAGAACCCTATCTGGAACTGCTTATATACTTTTATTCCAGGTGTGCCTGAACTGCTGGCACCTGGCACTAGATCATTCAGATTTAGCATTCCAGTTATGCTGCAAATGCCGCTTTGGGCACTGCTAGAAATGTGAATCTCAAGAGCAAATATCTTAGAATGTTCCACTCTCCATTGATGCAAACCAACTAGTTTGCATCACTAAATTTAGCTTAACCACAGACAAAAACACATGCAAGATATGCACTGCACTTTTGAACTGCGGATTCATCCAGCTCCATACCACATTTCTACCAATGACTAAAGGTGCGTAAGGGGACAAGAAACAGGCTAACATGACAAAAGGTTTGTTAGTCCAGTATCTTCTACTTGTGGCAAGGAGGCAACTAGAGATTTCTGATAGACCTATTCAACATTCATCTGGCTTGTTTTTTAACCAGTTAATTGTCTTGTCGTCTACAACATTATGTGATAATCCCACCATATGATACTAAATTGTGAAAAAAACCCCACAAATAAACTTCCCACTACATGATCTTTATTTATTTTTGCATAATTAGTTTGTAATTATCTTTGTTGAATGGATGGAGTGAGGCAAATACCCTGGCAATTAATCTGAGAACATGGCCTGTAATAAACAACTGGGCAAACTGACTGTTTTCATTCAAATCACAGTGAGTGGTATTGAGCCTTGTGTCCTATCACAGTATCCAACTTTCTTTTAGTCTTCTGGTTGTATTATTTCTCCATTTTAGGCTCACTGCAATATCTCATGGCACTCATTTGGCTACTAAAACCATTCTAACTCCACATTAGTATCCATAGCTTGCCTGGTCCTGAGTTACCTCTGGGTTTATGTGAACCTGAACACAGTTCAGCACAGCAAGGGAATCGTAATAGTAGAATTGTGTTTTGTGAGAATTTGGATTTAATTTTCTTTGATAGAACTTGTTCACCTAATTCTGCTTATTTGTTTTCACACTATCGGTCATCCAAGTTTCAGTGTTTTCCCTTGCTTGTGTACTTACGACAGAATGTGCTATTCCTCCATTTAATGGTGATTCCATGGTTCTTGCAGGTCTCCACATAGGCTTGAACTATGTCACAGAGAGCAGACTTCATGCCATCATACTGGCACATGTCATAGATGCAGATTTCTACGAAGTCTTCAGGGTTGACTAGATTATGGCATACTTTGAATTTGTCTGATTTGAGGACATTACACTGGCTTTCAATGACTTGTTTATTCTCGGCAGTGCAAGGAGGATCATCATCTTCTCTTAAGTCTGGTAAGCAACTGCAAGAAAGCACAGATACAGGCATCTAAGTTGCAATGGCACTCATAAGACATGAAAATTGAAACATTTGTTTCTACTGTGAGGTAGAAAAGGTTAGAGACTACAGTCTTCCTTCTGTCTGAGTGAAAGACTAGGCAGAATTAGACCTGCCTGACAACCACCATGCTGTGTCTGACACTTGTTACTCTCACTAAACTAGATCCTAGACTAGAGGATTGACTCACAGCTTGATCTTGTATGTGTCTCACCACTGCAAATTCGTGTGGTCTTTGGCTTCCACTGCAGGCCTGAGGCCACTGTTTTCTCAGCTGTGTTGTCACATATGGCTTCCTGTCCCCTAGGGAGCAGCTGGCCCTCACCATTCTCCAGCACCATCATCCTGCTCGGGTTGTTATCAGTGTAAAGTAGACAGAGGCTGTGTACACCCTGTGGGGTGACCCAAAGACTAATTCTCCAAGTGTGTATGTTGATTGATAGAATGGCTGTGGGTTCCCTCTGGCTTGTGCAGTGCTTTCCTGTGGGGATGGCCTTTTTTTGAAGCTTCAAATTCAAGAAAAGTCTCACACATGCTGCTTAAATGTTACAAAGTAGCAGACACTCAAAACAACTGAAAACAATTGACTGTTTTCTGAAGCAAGATAGAAGGTATGAAAAGACATTAATATTTACGCCTTATCACTGTCTTTCTCCACTTTCCAGCTATTTCCAAACTGTGGAGCACTGATGGCTGTTCCATTGGGCAAGGACAGATCATCTTCATGATTATCATTGAAATTACCACACATGCCATGCACCTGAAAAAAAAAAGAAACATATTCTAAGCATGACCTGTTCACATCAACTTTCCCAATAACTTCTTATTCATTGCCTATGAAATAATGTGACCGGATCAACAACAACCAATCTTGTATGAGACTTTTTAGACATTTTGACTGCACTCATAGAGAAACAAAACAGAAATTGCAGTAAATCTGTGATTTCCTAAGGCTTCAAGGCATTTATTTCTCCAAGTTAGATGTATTCCTCCAATCAGGTAATTTTCTTTAACTACCCCCTTGGAACACAAGGAAATTGTTGTGAAAAGAAAAAAATAGAAAGGAAAAAATTGTCATCTGTTACGATACAGCTACAAAGAAAGATACAATAGCAAAACACAAGAATAAAAGGAATTAGAAGTAAATGCACAAAGCAGTGGTTTTGAAGAGCCAGATGTTTGCACATTAAATCTTACCTGTGAGAAATAAGATTGTGGGAGGGTGATTTCCAGATAGTGATTGCCGTCGTATTTCACTATCATGCCAAAGTCAGTTTCCACTACTAAAAATCTGCCAACATTTCCAATGGACACGCCTTGCAGTCGGTTCTCCACTGGGGTGTAGACTCTCTCATTGTTCAACTGGAAAGACATGTAATTTTGTCAGTATGAACATTGTTCCATGAAAGCTTTTCTGCTCACAGTCTATAGTTCTAGCAGTGCTGAAGATTTCTCTGTGACAGCTTTAGCTGTTTACACTTCCACCATTGCATATTCCATCTGTGGGTTGCAGGAATAAGGCTTTTAGCTGAGGAGAGATGGCCAGGACTCATATCCTGTGCCTTTTACAGGGAGCTAGAAAGATCACTGGTAGTGAGCAAGCTCTTACTCACCCTTAGGGTATATTTCTCGCCTCCAGTACTGCCGTGGATCCCCATGTTGTTCTAAACTGATACAGTATGACTTGCCTTTCCTCTGCTCTTGTTAGCTCACTATAAGTGATTGGGTTGACAAGAGCTGTTGAAGTGGGGAGTCCCATACTTTAATTCAAGCAACAGTTCTCCAATCTGGAGGCTCTGGGCTCTATCTCCAAGATATGACCAATGAAACAGTGAACCCAAACCAGAAGCCTTGGGAACTACTGAGAAATGATATCTCCTCATGCTCTCCACCTAATAGAGGCACCCACAAGTGTTAAGCATATGCGCATATATTCCTTAGGAAACATGAAGATCCTTTTTCCTACATCTACTGTGAGTTAATTTTAAGATACTTCTTGCCAAAGTAAAGAGCACCATCACCTACCAGGATTCTTTGGTTTTTCTGGAGGGTGATTCGTACATCGTGCACATCTATATAGACTTCTTTTAGGTATGTGGCCCCTCTCAGTCCTCTGTCTTCATTCTTGCCCAGTATGGTTATAGGAATGACATTGGTGGCAGTGCTGACAACCTCAACCAAAATGTAGGTGCAGGTTCCCACGAAAGTGTACTTCACTCCATCAAAAGTGAAATAATGGGGATCTCCTACCACTTGACATGTTGCTTGACCTGAATGTGAAAAAAATTATCTAAGAACTTTGTACTGGACCTAGTCATGGACTCAGCTGATAAAGGAGTTTTGCATAAGTGTTGCAACCTAATCCTGATAAATATTATGTGGGCAAAATTTCACAGAGGCGTCTCAGGTTCATGCCAATGACATTTATTTGAAAATAAGAAATTTCTAGAGAGCATCTCCTAAATTTAATTTACAAATAACATACAAAATTACAAAATACCATCAAATGAACTTTTGTATATATTTCTATATGCTGTTGCAGCTAAAATTTATGGTGTTTGAGAGTAATACAGAGCATTTCTACTTATCTATGCAAAAATATGGAACTGTCTTTATAAATATGGGGGTAAATATAAAAGTCAATAAAATTGCACCTGCATATATCAATATATAATGCACTTGTCATAACCCAGACCCACAGAAATGCAATTCTCAATTATTCTCAAATTTATAGCTTGCAGTACTGGTGATGTGGGACATGAATTTTCATTATCAGGACAAACAAAACCCAAGTGACCCAAACTTTTGGGCATCATCAGTTTTTGCTGATGTCCACTACAAAAGAAGGGCATTTGTGCTTGCAAGACAGATCATCATAGTTTCATCTCTTAGCAATGGCAGTAGTCAGTTGGGATTTCTTTACTATCACATGGGAAGAGACATTTATGATAAAGCTAGAAGAAGAAGAGGATCTAATTGTGGAAATGACATTGGAATGATTTTCAGGTAGAACTTACCATTGGAATGACAGCCCAGCACACCATCCTGAATACTGCATTCCTCTTGGACTCCACATTCCCAGGATGTGCATTCAATGGTGTTATTAGCCTTGCAGGTACAGCGTTCAGTGCAGGGATATTGGGTGAACCAGCTTTCATTCAGCTGAGTGGAAAAAAGTGTGTAGAATTATATGCTATAAGATAAATAAGAATGTAAAACCTTAACAAAATAAAATTATAAATATTTGAATGTACATGATGTGTGATCATTTGTGCAATTGTAGGCATACAACTCATGGATTAAGAAGGTTGGCAAAGTAATTCTATTTTGAAATTATTAATGGTGTATATATTAATTGTGTAGTGTTATTAACTTGCTTTTTCTCTCACAGTGATAAGGAATGAGATTCTTCCCTCCCCCCCCCCCGCCCCGCCTTTTTAATTTAATTTATTTATTTACTTAAATGCCTGAGGTAACTTGCCTGGTGATACTGGTTCTTTTCATCAACACAACCACAGCTACTTTCTGGCACACATTTGTCTCCACTCAAAACATAGCCTTCCTTACAGAAGCAACCTTCCACTGGTAAAGAACTGCAGGAATCAGCTGCTGAGACGTTCAAACAGGTAGAGGGACACCTAGTACCACAGCTCTTGTAGATGCTGCCTCCAGGACAGGACATTGCTAGATAAAAAGGAAAAATAAGATCACTCTAAATGTTCTTGAAAATCAATGCTTTCTACAAGTCCTGGAATGGTACTGAATTTGAAGCAGGATCAAGACATGATAAAAGACAGACTATACTCAGAACGTTACATAAAATGAAATAACGTGCATGAAGAAGGTAGAGGACAAAGAAGTTAAAATCCAGAATAGATGTTTATATCACAACACTCACGGCAAAGAGTAGCATTCCTCCACTCTATGCATATCCCAGCATTGATACATGACTCAGCATAGGCCTGTAGCCCATAGCATAAGGATGTTGCCTGTCCACCAGTGAAACACATGTCATAAACACAGTTGTCAAAGAAATTCTCTGGAGGCACTTTGATATGACAGTCCTTGAAGATTCCTGTGTAAAGAAAGATATATAGTAGGATAGAAAAAAACAACTGGAAAGATAAGATCACAACCACCATCTATTTTCTGTCACAGCAAATGTATTGTAAGTGCTCCAGGCTAACTTTGTTTAGTAAGTTAAAACAGCACTTGAAATGGATGCATAAGGCAGAATGAGAATGGGCCCTCTGGATCAGATTTTCTTCTTTTTGCAAGATTGAAACAACATGGCTTACATAAAGTAAGTGTTGCTGCCTAGGAAAACCACTAACTCCAGACAACTACAGGGATTATCCAATGCAGAGAATATGTACAGAATTTTAGGTAAAGTATTTGTAATACATACACTGACAGTGCCCTCTGAACTATTCTTTTAGCAAGCAGAGTGCAAGTCACTGTAAAGAAAAGAGCAGCTCCCTGAACACGTTCTGAAATAATCTCCATGGACACATTGGCACTGTCTGAACAGATGACATATCCTGACCAAGCACCTATGAGTTTTACATTGGCCATTTACACTGGAGGTTTTATATGCTCCCAATGGGACCTCAGAAAAATAGACTATAAAGAAGGGATAAAACAAACTGTAACATGTTCTATCATATGGCTCACAGAAAACTACCAATATGTTACCTGTTGGGTCTGTGATCATGCCACATGCTGTGTTCTTCTTTGCTTCATTCTCCAACACAGGATCACATTGTTCCTCTGTCCCACCACTGGAGCATCTGGGGAAAGCAAGCAGAATCAAATATGTGTTTCTCATCATTTACTATCAGATTTTCAGTGGAAGATTGACATATGATAACCCTGCATAACAGAGTGTACTTTATGTCAGTCACAAGACTTTATCCAGCTTCTTTGAAAAGCTGATGTCAGCCCTCTCACTGAATGGGCTCATTTTTTTGATCCTTTCTGGGCTATTCAAGGGCTTATTCTTAGCTGGAAAAAAAAGAGTTATGGAATCCAAACAGTTATGGTTTCCAATCAGGGAACTAGACTGAAGTTCCATTCCCCCTCAAACTCAACAGACAGTTCCTGCTTTGGAAAACAAGACTTAAAGGACATAATCCTTTTATCATTCTCTGGTTTGCATAAAGGTACAGCTCCCTACTTCTAATGGGCAACTGGAAGATGTGGAATGGTACTGGATGATAAAGCCAGCAAGTAAGTGGATAGGTATTTGATTTTAAAGAGTTTGGTTAACAAATGCCATGTGATTAAATTATTATACATACATGGTGTTGTTCTCAGGCACAAGCCAGCTTTCTCCAAGATCAGTGGAACCACTTGCAATATCACCATTGGGCTTTATATTGTCATCATTCGGATCACCATTATAATTACCTGTGAAGGTAAAAGGAGATTTATGTGACACATGAAGTTCAAACCTGTAGAACAATACTAGGTTTCAGGTTGTAAAATAAAGTAAAATGTTATAAGGAGAGTATATATGCAACATCAATGTGTACTGGGCAAAATAAGAAGAGAAGAATTGTGTTTGAGACTGTGACTGACAAGAGCTGCTGTTCAGACACCTGTGAACTTGAAGCAAAAATCTGTAAGCTCCTGTGTAACCAGATTACATTGCATGCAAGAAAGAACTCCTTAGCTAAAAAAAAAAAAAAACAACAAAAAAACCCCCCACAAAACCAACTCATTTTCCTGTTTCCTACATGTAGAATGTTGGACTAAAAATTACACAGTACTATTTGCACCATTATGTTCTTAGGCAGATTTCCTGCACTGAAAGCATGAAAAACCAATACAGAGAAAATAGAATAGGAAGTTCTAGATGATCCAAACCAAAGAATAATCAGAAACATTGTAGTCTAATGTTTCATCTTTTTCTTGTTTTCTCATTCTTTCGATTGTTTAAACGTGATCATTCAGGTTGTATAAATGCCTTCTAAGAGCACAGAAAAAGAGAAGCAAGAAAACTTCAGCAGGATGCTGACAGTAAGCAATTCTTAAAGATTTCTCTCTGCTGTGCAAACAGCCTCAGGTTTTTATAACTCACAAAATGAAATGGTATAGCATTTCCACACCCAACAAAAGACAAATACATCAGAATGTAATTAACATAAAAATGTGTTTGCAGAATTCTTAAACAGCTCCATGCAAAAAATTACTCATCTTGATTTTAAACTGTAAAACTGAAGGCAGTTCTTTTATTTGGCTGAAAATGTTATTTTTAGTTACACCTCACAACATTCCAAACGGATAGCATGTTACCAGGAAATTTTTAAGTTCTTTTTAGAAACTGAAAAGGTCTAACAAGATTTTTCAGTGCTGTAAATTCTAGTCCATTTGACAAGGAGAAGTTGTGTGTAGAATGTCTCCCTAAAAAAAAACCCAAACTGAAGTAACCACTGGCCTCCACAACTCACTAAAAAATGACTAAGTCTACAACTTACCACAGAGGCCACAGAGGAGATGACTGTAATTAGAGGGCACGGAGACTTCCGCATAGTGGTTTCCATCATATCTCACCCACAATCCAAAGTCAGTTTCTAAGAGAACATATCCACCACTGCTTTGAATACTGATTTTCTTCTCAATAAATACAGGCAGGTTCATTCTGTGACCATTCACCTGTACAGCAAATTGTAAAAGTTAGTGCATGACTGCTGGGACTCTAACAACTACCAGCAGCTAGTACAAATTACTGAAAGATATGATCTTGTGCACAAAGGAACTGGAAATAATTAAAAAACATTTAATCTGAGCAAAGTTGTTGGAGATCTCATTAAAAGAGATACATGTCACTAATAAAAAGAGAAAGTTTGCTATAAACTCTACAGAGGTAATATTTATTGGCATGTCAGTTAAAAATATTTTATATATGTCTTTTAATCAAGTCTTCTTACATTCACTTTCTTGTTTTTCAGTAGAGAAATCTGGTTGTCATAGACTTCCACTTGCACTGACTTCACATAAGAGACTTTGGTGTTGGCTGCTCTGTGTTCATTTGTTGTGGACACATCAAAGTATGGAAGCTTCTCAGAGACATTGCACACTTTGGAGAGTGTGTAAGTGCAATTTCCCATGAAATTATGGACTCTGTGGTCAAAAGTGTTATAATGTGGATCTCCAGAGGCACTGCAGGAAGCACGATCTGTGAAGAAAGAAACACAGACTAATTCCCTCTGAATCTTCACCAGATTTTTGCAGTTGCTTGGTTTCCACTTTGTTTGTTTTACTTTGTATTTGCTGCCCTGCTATAATATTGATGGCATCAGTCAATAGAACTCCAAAGGCCAACCCAGTCTTCTATCTTTGGGCCTATAAAAAACCCTGTACTCTTGTGTATCAGAAGTCTGTGCTAGAGGTTGAGGAACAAAGGTGAGCAAAAGGCTTTGATATAAAAAAACCCAAACCACTGCTGTTAAGACATCATTACACAAAGTGTAGCAGCGAGTTTTTATTGTCTATATCTGAAAGGCTAATTCTGACTAAATAGGAAGAATTTCCTTAAGATCTTTACAGGGCTGGTTAGCCAGGATAGCTTCACTACCAGCTGTCTGGGTTTCTGTACTCATATCATTTATGGAACTTATACTGAACACTGCATATCCTTTACACACTTTTAAAAAATATTTAAGTTAATTAGCCAGTGATAATATGTACAAATGGAAGTACACTGCGTGTTCATGGAAGTGTGTAACCTGGAGAATATTTTGAATGCTAATAAGAAATTCCCATTTTGAAGAAAAAAGCTTCCCATCAACTCTTAATAGAGTTGAGCTTGAAGGTTCTTCATGGCGCTTACCAAGAATAAGATAAAGAAAAGAGATCCTTTCCTCTTTGTTTTTCAATGGCATGTTAAAATGTAGCTACACTTATGGTTGTTGTCTACATGTTGTCTACACTCCTTACACAGAAAATATTAATTCTCCCAGAATGCCATACTTAACGATTCCAAAAACAAAAAAAAAAGCAGAAGAAATCTAAACTGATTAAGTGAGGTAAGACTCTCTTGTATTTAACAAGCTGATATATGTAGACATTAGTATTTCAAATTGGAGGAAAGAAGCAGTTAAAATTTATCTAAAAGAGTATTTTAGTATATATCCTAAATATTAAAGTAATGCTAATTGCACTTAACCAGTCTTTGACAGAAAAATACAACTGGATTATATCACACTCCAAAAATAAAATTTGGAAACTAGATTACGTTTCAAAATATACAAAACATAACATCTGTATAATAGGTGAAAACTTGCCATGGAAAAGAGTAATTTAAATATTTATGGACATGGAAATAAAGAGTACGTGAAATAATTATTAGACGGTTGGTCTACTCTTACTGAAATGCCCAGCACTGTGGCAAAAGAGACCTACAGGAGGATGTACATAGTCAGAATTCAGGAGTTCCAGACGTAAAGAAACGTTCTGCAAGTGTAACTGGGGGAGTAAGGAAAAGCTCTGACCCTCAAATATAAAAACTCTGTCAACTTAGCTCTGAGACCTGGATTCAGAAAATAGGGAAGTTCTGAAAGCCAGTAAGGGAACAAGATGGGAAACAGCAGTACCTGAGCTGGGTGCTGTTGTTGTGGGTGATGTTGTGTGGGCAGGCCGTGTTGTAGTGCCTGGCAAGGGAATCGTGGGTGTTGGGTTTGATGGACCTAGGGCAACAGAGAGTTAGAGGAGACGTGCAGCAACCTAAGAACCAGATCAGTTAGGTAACACATGGTGAAAAGAGATCTCTGTCAAAATAGGATTAATTTTCCCAGGCATGCTGTTCAACCCTACTCAAACACTGTCATTGCAGAAGGAAAGGTGACGCACTCCACCTTTAGAAATGGAATAGGTTCCAATGCGTGCCTATTTATGGAGGGAGGCTGACACAAGGCAAATGACAGCCCTCAAATGTAAATGCAATATGTAGCCAGTGTGGGTTTTGAAGACGACGCAGAATTCTACCAATAATAGCAGTACCTGAGGTCACCTCAGGTGGTGGTGTTGTTGGTCTTGGTGTTGTCTGCGTTGTGATGCTAGGCAATGGGGTTGAGGGTGTAGGAGGAAGTGGACCTATGAAGAGACAGAGGAAGAAATGGTAAGTGTCATCGTGGGCACTCTGTTGCATGCAGCTCGTCCACCCTTCCCGAAAAACCCAACATTCTAACTCAGAGACCCGGGGCAGGGACGGCACCGTTATACCTAAGCAAAAACGCTTCGACGAGCAAAGCTGGGAGATAGAAGGGCAACGCGCACCCCCTTCACTACAGACAAACCATCCCAAGTCTTGGCCTTTGGAGGAAGCGAACTGAAAAGTTTCAGCAAAGAGAAGATGGGGATGAGATGCAGCAGTAACTGATCTGGGTGTGGGTATTGCTGGAGATGTTGCGTGGGCAGTCTGCATTGCAAGGCCTGGCTATGGGATCGCGGGTGTTGGTGTTGATGGACTTCGCACAAGGGGCAGTTAGAGGAGATGTGCACCAGCATGGGAGTTTTCTTACAGGCAGCTGCTTCCTTCACCCTTCTGAAGCACCCAGCTCCATGACCAGGCATGCCCAGAAGAGACACTGCAGCGTGTCATCTCAGGAAGAACGCTCCCGCTCAAGGGCTCAGCCACCAGCACAGCTGGGTGACAAAAGCAAATGAGGCACTTCAGTCCCACGGTCATTGTCCTGTCTGTCAGCTTTGTGACACATGAATTAAAACAGGTGCTGCCAGTGCTCCGGTCTCCCAGGAGAAGGCCAGCTTGGGCACAGGAGGCCTCAGTGCCCTTCAGGGCACTGCAGAGACAACCTGCTCTCCTGCCTCTAGCACAGCCTGCCAGCTCAGTTGGTGGCACGTCTCAAGCTGCCCTTTCCCAAGCCAAGCCTTGTACCTGCACAGGATCCCTTTTCAATGGACAGATCATCCAAGGCTACGTTGCTCCGGGCATCTTCACCCCATTGTCCCTCCAGGAAAATCTAAGGGAAGGAATTGTTCCCGGCATTAGCTCTGGCTGCATGTGTGAAGTGCCATTAGAAGGGACGGTTCCCCTCAGGTGGCAGCGAGAGCCTGTGCCCCTACCTGCTGATTTCCTGTGATGTGCACCGTCACCTCTCCCAAGTGCCACATGTCCCCGTGGTTCCCTTCTTGATTCCAGACCACCTGTTGCTCACGGTCATTTGCCACGTACACCCGCAGGGCCATTTCAGCATTTCCGTACATGTGGTACCAGAAGCGGAAGCAGTGCGTTCCTTCCCAGCTGCACACCGGACTGACCAGGACAGCCACAAACCCGGCGAGAGCATCATCAGTCCCTTGCAGGTAGATGTAGTAGCCATCTGAAACCAAGCATGGGCCACACTGTCACACACACATCAAATCTAGACAAAGCAGCCAGGGGCCACTCCAGCACAGACCTGGGAGCACCAAAGCTGCAGTTTCAGTCAGGCAAAAGGAGGGGGGAAGCAAACGCAGGTCCTTCACAAGCCACAAGCCTCCCCGGACCCGAGTGCCTCTACGAAGGTGCTCTCTGGGCCATGGCAGCTGTATGCCTTGGTCTGGGCAACGGCATCACCTCCAAAGCACTGCCACAGGCCTTGCATGGCTCTGCAGCTTTGGAGACTCACTCCTCATCTTTGTTTTTTGGAGAAGCCTGCATCTCTGTCTAACAGAGAGACAGACCCATTCCTGTTCCCCGGAGACAAATGGGTCATCAATGCTTTCTCTCCTCATGGCACGGTCCTGGCCTGCCCTGCGGGTACCACAGACTGATTCCTAGGGCTGGAACTCTTCCCAAAGGAAGCCTCTGGCTCTGGGGGACACTGCTTTAAATTGCTCTGGATGAAGACCAGGAAAGATGTGGCCTATGTGTGCTGTTAGAAGAAGTTTATGGATATCTTCCGAGGGACGCTCCCCAACCCGTGTCCCGACTGCTGTGCCTACCTCCAGTTGTGTGGTCAGAAGAGGGGCCGGTATTTGGTGTGGGCGTTGGGCCTTTGTTCCTTATCCAGTCAATGCTGCTGTAGTCTGCCTGGACCCAGCCACAAAAGTCCTTGTCGAATGTGCAGCTGAAATTGCAGTCTGGTGGGGGAGCTGGACGTGGTGCAGAAAGGAAAGTAGAGGTTGTAGAGTGAAGGTGGGGCCACCATTTCCCACTGTCACCCAGTGCTCACAGACAGCCACATACACCCATGGCACGCCTGTGGCCAGGTGAGGGTGGCCAGCCAAGGGGAAGGGCTTAGCACAGCCAGTAAAAGACATGGATGGGAGACAACCGTACCTGCGCTTGTCCCAGGTGCTGGTGACGTTGTTGTATGTGGAGGCCTTGTTGTAGTGCCTGGCAAGGGCGGCGTGGGTGTAGGACCTGATGAATGAAAGAGAGCGAACCAGAGGTGGAGAAGGTGTGTTTCAAAGGGGGGATTTGTTCCCAAATGAGGGTGTTGCACCCTTCCCAAACACCACCACACCATGGCAAAAGAACTCTAGGACAGGGATTCCACAGTGTCCCCATCCCAAAGAGTCTCTTCAGCTGAGGGCTGGCACACCGGGCCAGTTAGGTGACACGTGGGGAAACCACCAGCCCAGCTGCCCCACTCCTTGAATTAAGGAGAGAGTCAAGGAAATCAAAGGAGATGGACAGAAGGCTTACCACAGACAGTGCCAGCGCTCCAGTCTCCCAGGGCAACGCCTGCCTCCGCACAGGCTGCGGCGTAGGCCCCCAGGTCATTGCAGAGCTGCTCCGTGCTGCCGCCCGTGGCACACTGGTCATAGACACAGCTCTCAAAGTAAGTCTGGGGAGGCAGAACTGCATGGCATGGCTGGAACGGGCCACCCAGATGTGTGAGGATTGAACACTGCTTGTTAGCTGCCTCCTCCTCGGTGGGGGAGCAGGACGCAGGCGGGCTGATGGCTGGGTCACACCTACACAGCAGACAGACAGCCCTGAGCTCACCGCAGCCACACCATCTCTCGACCTCCTCCCCAGCCAAAACCTCAGCTTCTGGAGCCCAGTTCTCCCCTGAGACAGGCACCAACGGTGTCACTTGCAAGGGTGGAACGCATGGCCCACAGTCACCCGTCCCACCCTTGGAATCGGGTGGAGAGAAGAAAATGCCTGAGGCTGTTGCAATCCCTCAGCTTGGGAAAAGCATCATGCCCAGGCCCCAGACCACCCTCCCGCACGTCAAGAAACTGCCTCTTCTCCCTTGCCCCACGCCTGCCATCGCCGACCCTTCCTCCTCAGGGCCCTCATAGCTCCCCTCTCCCACACTCCCTTTTGTCCTTCATCTGCAGGATGGATCAGGGACTCACGGCCACTCATCATCCGGCACCCTCCAGCTGGCTCCAAAGTCGTTGAAGTCGGGCACGACAACTCCATCAGGGCGCGTGAAGTCATCCTGCTGGCTCCCACTGTACGTGCCACACAGCCCACAGAGCTTGCCCTTGTGCTTCTCAGACACCTTCACGAGGAGCTCGTGGTCCCCATTGAACTGCAGCTGCAGGCCCAGCTTGGTGGAAATGCGCACGTAGGAGCCGCTCAGGGAGATGGTCACACCGGGGGCAGGAGAAGCAGGCAGGGAGACCAGAGCACCGTTGATCTGGAGAAGGGGGAAAGAGGGAAGCATAAAGAGGTGCCCTCTGCTGAGAGGTCCCTGTTCCTCATCGGGGTGGTGCCAGGGCCCAGTGAGGCAGCAGCACTTATGGCATGAGAACCCCTGCCCCAGGCCTACGAGGACACCAGCAACTCTACACACGGCCCTCCAAAAGGTCAGGAAAGCAGCCAAAAATCTGCGGCTGCACGAGCAGCCAAATCTGCCCCACTCAGAGCCTTGCCATGCTCTTCTGTGAGCACACAGCAGGCTCAGGGAATAGCAAGTTCTCCCTGGGGACAGAGTGGTATTTAGGGATGCTTAGTGCATCTGTGGTCCCAGGTGTAAAACTGAGGGGCTTACGTAGACGGCCTTGCGCTCGCGCAGTGCAATGTGAAGGCCTTCCAGGGACAGTGCCACAGAGTTCAGAGCTGTCCAGCTCTGGCTGCCGCGATGTTTGTTGCGGGTGGTGACGCTGAACCCGATGGAGGAGTTGTCGCAGCCTGTCACAACAGTGTAGTTGCAGGAGCCCTGGAAGTGGTGAAGCTTCCCATCAAAGGTGCTGTAATGCGGGTCACCGTAGATGTGGCAGAGAGCGGTGCTGGCTGGGTAACAGCCCCTCTGGCCATTCTGGATCTTGCAGACCTCGTCCTCGCCACAGGACAAGGCAGAGCAAACCATCTGGCCGTTGGCTTCACACCGGCACCGGCGAGTGCAGTTCTCGTTCACGGAGTACTCGCCTTCCTGCGGGCAGGGAAACGCCAAACGTCAGCGCAGGACGCAGGAAAATTGAGGCGAGGGAGTCCCTGTGTGGGAGGGGTGCAAGCCAGGGCAGGGATTTCACTCACGCTGTAGTAGTTGTCCTCAAAGAGGCAGCCACACTGCGCCTCGGGCACACAGGTGTCTCCGCTGAGGAGGAAGCCAGAGGTGCACGCACAGCCCTCCACACAGGGCTTGGAGCAGTTCTGTGGGGCTTGTCGGTCAACACAGGTGGCAGGACAGCCGGTCATGCAAGGGTCATAGTAGCTGTTGGCAGGACACTTCAGGGCTGCAATGGGGAGGGGACAATTAGGACCAGCAAGATTTCAAGCAAGGAAGGCCTTCTGGGACGGGGGAAGACCAAAGACTGTCTTTGGCCAGAGGTTCTGGGCAAGAGGAGCGACCCATTTCCCTTCTGGCAGTGGCAAGGCAGGTACTCACGGCAGAAGGTAGCATTCCTCCAGGGGAGAAGAGTCACGCCGGCTGCCTGGCACGCGTCAGCGTAGGCCTCCAGAGCAGCACACAGGAACTCCTGGCCACCATTCAGGGCACAAAGGTCGTAGAGGCAGGTGTCAAAGTAGCTCTGTGGGTTGATCACGCTGTGGCACTTGTCAAAAGAGCTGGGCCTGGAGGTCAGTATGCCACAGAACCGGTCCGACTCGTAGAGCTTCTCCTCTTCTGCACTGCAGGGTGGGGAGGGGACGGGGACACCGCAAGAGGGGTCACTGTCTGGGACCTGCCAGCTCTCCCCCAGCGCATTTGAGTCTGCGGCTTGCTGCCCGTTGGGCATCATGTATTCGTCGTCTCTCCGGCTGTTGAAGTTCCCGCACATGCCACAGGTCAGGTTGAAGTAGGTGGTGGGCACCTTCACCTCCACCGAGTGGTCAGTGTCGTAGGACACTGTGAGGCTGAAGTCTGCCTCCAGGACGACGTAGCGGCCGCTCTTGCTCACCGTGACCGCACCTCCCGCTGCCCTCACCGGCAGGGTCTGGCGCACGCCGTTCACCTAGGGCAGACACAGCACCATGGGCCCTGGACTTGGCCCTGGCCTCCCTGGGCTCTCCTGCCCAGGGAAGGCAGCTGCCAGGCCAGGCCCGGCAAACAGCTGACCGGGATGTCCCCACACCCCGCCACCCCTGGGGCCCGCAGAGCCGTGTCTTGTGTTCTGCCCTCTGCAGGGGCCTCTGCTCAACACAGAGCACATTCCCTGGTTGCCTCTTCCTCCTCCAACCCTTCTGGAAGGGAAAAACCAAGGAATCCAGTGGCTTCCGCGGAGCCCACCCAGGCCTGGAGCAATGGAGACAGCTGGTACATGCCAGGCCCTGCCAGGAACAGCCAACCCTGCCTTGCAGCCACGCCACACCCGTGCCAGCCCTGCTGCCTACCAGCACTTGGCTCTTCTCCTGCTTGAGGATGCCAATGCGCTGCCCGTACACCTCAACCAGCACTTCGCGCACATAGGACACTCTGGTGTTCCCACGATGCTCGTTCTTGGCCTCCACATTGAAGTAGGGCAGGGCGGTGGTGTTGGAGCACACTTTGGCCAGGGTGTAGGTGCAGTTGCCCATGAAGTTGTGCGTCACCTTGTCAAAGGTGTTGTAGTGAGGGTCGCCGTGGACGTGACAGATGCCGTAGGAGTGTTGGAGGCACACGGGTTTCCCACCCTGCACCCCGCAGTACTGGCCCGCAGGGCACGAGGCTTCGACGCACTGGACCTTGCCTCCCCGCATGGGACACGTGCACTTGGAGGAGCAGGTGTTGTCCGTCCAGAACTCGGAGCCCACGGGGTAGTGCTGCCCGTTGTGCCAGCATCCGCACTGCTGGCTGGGCACACATCGGTCGTGGTAGAGCAGGTACCCGCTGTCACACACACAGCCCTCTACGCACGGCAGGCTGCAGGTAACTGGAGCCATTGGGTCAACACAGGTGGCAGGGCAGGCAGCAGCACAGGGCTCATAGTGACTGTTGGCCGGACACGTGATCGCTGCAGAAACAGAAGACGTGGCGATTACGTGCAGAACATAACTCAACAGTTCTTTTTGCGTTATTTTCCCCTTTGAAAAAGTAACAGTCCCTGTTTTCCCTCTGGTCTCCTTGGCTCCATGTGTACTCTCGGTCCTACCCGATCAGGTGAAACAGAAAATGTAACGGTGCCTCTAATACAGACAACTCCCTGTAAATCCCCACAGCTCACAGCGAGAATGTTTCCCCCCCCCTCACTCTTTCCTTCATATCCTGTGCTTTCCTGAGAGTAACGATCCGTGCTATCATGTGTGGACTTACGGCAGAAGGTTGCGTTCCTCCACACGGGTATCTGGACCCCAAGCGCCTGACAGGCATCCGCGTAAGACTGCAAGCTCTTGCACAGGGTCTCCTGGTGCAGCCCCAGCTCACACAGGTCATACGAGCAGGTCTCAAAGTAACTGCTGGGGCTCAGCACAGCGTGGCAGATCTGAAAGGGGCCACTGGTGTCGGTGAGGAGCCCGCAGAAGCGGCTGCTGGCGATGACCTGCTTGTCCGTGTCATTGCAGGCTGGGGTGGGGAGTGGTCCGGCTGAGCAGCTGTGCAAAGACAGGGAGAAGGGCCTCTGGGTCATCTCTGGGCTTCTCCTGGTGCCTCCTCCTCCCCTTGCCTGACATGTCCCCAGACCTGCTGGGGAGGCACACCCACCTGCTGTTTTTGGACACCTCCCAGCTGTTGCCCAGGCTGGTGGAGTCTGGCTCCAGCATCCCTTCTGGGTTCAGGAAGTCATCTGCTGCCATCCCGTTGTAGTTCCCACACATGCCACAAACCTTCTGCCCAAAAGTGCTTGGAAGTGTCACCTCCACCCGATGGTTCCCATCAAACTTCACTCTCAAGCCAAAGTCTGTCATGACCATAGTGTAGAACCCGCTGGACAAGACCTGCACACCTGCGGATGGGCTGCAAGGCAGGATCTCTGCCACTCCATTCACCTGGAAAGACAGGAAGCAAGACAGGATTGAACCAACCCATTTGGCACAGCTCTTTCCTCTCGCACAGCCCCACAGGCTCTCCCTCTTGAGCTTACCGTCACCACTCCACCCTGCCCCAGCCTTATCCGCTGGTCAGCCACATCGACATCCACGTATCGGACGTAGGACACACGAGTGTTGCCCCCCCTGTGCTCGTTGGCTGCTTCCACGTTGAAGTAGGGCAGGGAGCTGTTGCTCTCACACAGCTTGGAGAGGGTGTAGGTGCAGGTGCCCATGAAGTTGTGTAGCTGCTTGTCGAAGGTGTGGTAGTGAGGGTCTCCTTCCACCACACAGGTCCCTGACAGTGGAGAGACCAGAGGACAAGTTCAGTTGAGCACCTCTCGCTACCTCTTCTCCCTAAATCACCTTTGTCAAAGAGCATCTGTCCCATTACTGGTCTTCTGTACTCACCTGTGCCTGGCATAGGTGTTGATGTGGGTGTCTCTTCTGAAGGTGTGGTGATTGTGGTGCCTGGTGTGGTGGGAGTCACATCTATAAAAGAGACATAATAATGGCCAGTCTTCGCGAGCGAAGATCCGGGGAAGGTCTCTACACCTTCCAGCCTGCGCATTGGATTTTTTAGGTGAGACACAGTGTGCGCTGAACTGAGCCCACCCTTTAATCCTAAGGTTCATCTGCCGGGGCCAAGCGAGCTTGGACGGTGGCAGCGAGGTCCTTAGGACGTAGGTGGGTTGCCTTTAAGGGCTAACGAGCCCCACCTGCCCGGGAGTGGCCCTGACCGGGAATCGAACCCGGGTCTCCGCGGTGATAGCGCGGCGCCTTTACCACTGGACCACCAGGGGCTCCTCTATAAAAGAGACAATGGTATAAAGAAATGAATCCTCCTCAACTTGCTCTGGTTCAGGACATCAGTTATGATGATGGCCATAAGAAACATAACATTCTGTAAGTTGCCCTTTCCCAAGCCAATCTTCGTACCTGTGCAGTGCCCCTTTACAATGGAGAGATCATCCAATGCCATGTCGCTGAGGAAATCTTCACCTATCATGCCTTCCAGGACAATCTAAGGGGTAGGATAAATCTCAGCATTAGCTCTAGTCATGTATATGAATTGCCATTGGAAAACATGATTCATCTCAGATGGCAGTGAGAGTCTGTGGCCTTACCTGCATATTTCCTTTGCTGTGTACCGTGACCTCTCCCAAATTCCATGCATCCCCTTTGCTTCCAGCCTCTTTCCATTCCAGTGTTGATGTTTCATTGTGTACTACATACACACGCAGAGCCATTGCTTCAGCTGTTCCATACATGTGATACCAAAAGCGGAAGCAGTGCGCTCCTTCTGAACTGCACACTGGACTGACCAAACGGGCTATATCACTTTGCTCTTGCTTACTTCCTTGCAGGTAGATATAATAGCCCTCTGGAAACAGAAGAATATCAGTTTTTCACCTTAATGGGTCAGGATGAGACAAAGTGACTTCATTTACAGTATGTGTACTGTATACGATTACTTTACCCAGCGCCTGCATTAATCTTTCAGTCCACAAGTAGATTTCCTACTTAGGGAAAGAAATACCTAATGGAAAGGCTAACTGTTACAATGATCCAGTCTCAGAGAGGATATACCTTTGCTGAAGCCTCTTTACAGTCCTGCACTGTTCACCCTCCCATAACAGATTCCTGACTACTGCAGAAGGCTCTAGATTAAGCCTAGAAACACATGGCCTTGATATGCTGTTAAAAGAGGCTCCTTTCCTTCTTCCAAGAGAAGCACAGCCAGATACTGTTTGGTTGTTCCTACCTCCAGTTGTGTGGTCATGAGAAGGGCCAGTATTTGCTGTGGGTGTGGGTCCCTTGTGCCTTATCCAGTCAAAGTCATCATTGGTTTCCTGTTTCCACTCACAGAAGTCAACCTCAAACGTACAGGACATATTGCAGGCTGTTGGCGCAGCTGTATATTGTGAAGAAAGAAAAACAGTTTCCACAATGAGGTTTGGAATCTCCTCTCTGTTCTGATACTGTCCTTCTAGGTCTAATGAACATGTGTTCATGAAAAATGTGAAGATGTTATAATGAAATGAGTATAAGTGACCAGTACTGAAAAACTGACTATAAAACATTAAGTTTTTAGTGTCTGAGAATGTATGGTTTTTTACAAATCCCTCCCTCCATTGTCATCATAATGCACTAAGATTCTCTATTTTTACACTGTGTCAGTCATAATCCTTTGTCATTGCAACTTGCTCAAAGATGTCCTATTTGGCATAGTAGTATTCAGCTGGCTCTCAAAATCCTTTTTAGGTGGAAATCCAGACCTCATAATAAGAATTGTCTGACATTTTTTTTTTTTTACTGCTTATAAACTGGTATGAGAAATATTGTCTTGGAATTGGAAAGAGACTACAGAATGCCTTTTCATGTAATAGCCTCATACTTAGGTTGTTGTTTCTGCTGGCTTTGGTAATCACCTCTGGAGGTTCTAGAAAAACCAATTTAAAGATACAAGGAAGAAATTTTTTACAATAAGGATGGTGAAACACTGGAAATATTCGTGCTCAGGTCGGATTGTAAGTTACCTGATCTAGCTGGAGATGTCCCCTCTTGTTGCAGGGAGGTTGCACTAGATAACCTTTAAAGGTCCCTTCTAACCCAAAATGTTCTACAATTCTATGAATTTTGTGCTTCTAGCCTTACCTCTGTGTTAACTTGTCTGCCTAGATAGTAAGGGTCTAAGGTTGAATGGACCTCAAGCTACAGGATCCTTTTTATTAATGTTAAAGCCCTGGTTTACATACTTTTATTTATTTTGCATGCTTGGTGAAAATCTGGAGCTGTAGACAGGTTGGGTAAGTGATAAGTTAACACTTCTCAAAAAGATAAAATATTTTTTAAACCAAAATGGTAATTTGTTAGGCAAATGTTCAATTGTCCCTTTCTGAGCACTTAGCTGATAGTGTATGTTGTCTCTCCCAACCCAATTCTGAAAAACAGTCTTGGATCAAAAGTGTCCAGACATCACATTCTAAGAATACAGGAAGCCCATTAGAGGCTTAGATTAGAAACCAAATTTACAGAGATGCTAAGCATTTGGAAGCTTCCTGTCTTTCACTGAATCCTCATTTCTGAAATTCTGTTCAACTTCTCAGGCATTTGAATTTATATTTGTAGTATAAGGACTTAATTGGATGGTTATTTGTTAAATGACCTGATGACTTACCGCATATGGTATCTTTCCTCCATTCACCCAGATTTACACTTCCAAGTTCACAGGCAGCAGCATATGCCTCTAAAATCTTGCAGAACTGATCAGAATTCCCCTCTGTGGCACACAAATCATAGACACAGCTCTCGAAATACAGCTGTGGGGGAATGTGCCAATGGCAGGCCTGAAAAGGTCCACTATTTTTCAAAACAATTTTGCAGAGTTCTTCATATTCTTTCTCTTTTGCTGCGTCACAAGCAGGCGGCACAACTGAAACTGCATTACACCTACATGAAAAATACACAGCAGAGTGGTTGTGGAATAAATCTTTGTATTTTGTTATATCCTGCAAGGCATATCTCAACTAGAATAGAATCCAATGCCAAAGTCTGTATATTTGCTGTGTATAGCCTTCTTTAGTGTGTCAAACCCAAAAGTGAGAAATATTACAACTTAACTCATAATTCCCAATTAAGAATATAATTGTGAATTTGTGATGTATGGCTGTCTATCCATAAAATGATGTCCAGAAGAAATGAACAAATTAGCTATCCAACACAAGCAAGATAATTTCAATTTCTTATTGCATATAGTAAGGGCAGTAATTTGTATGTGAAAGCATTAATAGACAGATAAATGCCCCTTGCCTGTGTTAATCAAGGTGGAGTTATCTTAGGATCTGAGTCTGAGATGTATTTAGATTTTTGTAGCAAGAAGGAGGAATATAAAGGAGATATTTTAGAAAAGGAAATAAAGGAAAAATTCAAGTTATATGCATTAAAAGGAGCCCAATCTCAAGCAAAATCTATAAAGATTATGTGGAAAAGCTCTGAAAGGTGATTTTAAAATTTCAATAATTTCTGTTGAAAACTGGAGTCATTCAAAGGTGAAAACACTAGCAAACAAGTAATATCTAAGAAGGGTTACTATGGAATGTAAATGATGTATATTAGGCCTATAACTACATGATTTATGTTTCAGGCACTTTGCTGTTTAATAAGTTATTATCCGATACTTACGTCCTGTTGTCATCCTTCACTATCCAGCTGTCACCAAATTTATTTGGATCCTGTTCTAGGACTTTATCTGGGTTTAAAAAGTCATCTAGTTGGTTGTCATTGAATGTCCCACAAAGACCACACAGTTGTCCTTTGAGACTTTCATCAACCAGAATGAAAAGCTCCTGGTCACCATCAAACTTAACCTGGATCCCTACAGAGGTATCAATGACTATGTAGTGTCCTTTTATGGCTACTCTGGTTCCATGGTTCAAATCCACCGGAAGTTTAACCTGAACTCCATTCACCTAAGGAAAAGAAAACCCACAAAACCAGGTAAGTCAATAAAGCTCCCAGGAACAAAGGGGAGGTCTGCACTGCCAGCACTATAGTTTTCTTCACCAAGTCAGCCTTATTCTAGTGAACAATAGAGATAACAGAATTTAGAGGTTAAGCAGAACCCAAGGTGGTGTACACTTTTTTCATACCTTGAATACAAGTTTAGCTCTGTGCTGTAACAACTACACAAAATGCAAAACTTGGAATAGTTTATTTAAAGCTAAATCTTTGAGATTTAATCCAGTAAAAGTTTTCTATTATAGACGAAGTCATGGATGAAGCTGTTTTATCCTACAAGCTCATTTAGAAAATATCTGAATGGATAAAAAGAAACCTTGCTGGTTTCCGCCTTTTTGGAAAAAAAAAATTCTGTGACTTTTAGCATGTGCAGTCTTGAAGGTGAATAAATCAGAAAAGCCTGATTCAGTTCTTTTGGGTAGAAATGTGAAGTGCATAGTGATGGATTGTTTATGCTAAAAGTAGAAAGAACACTTACATAGGTCTCTTTATTTTTCTTCAGAACAATGTGAAGATTTTCCAGTGTTACAGAAACTGAGTTCAAGGCTGTCCAGTTTGGGTTTCCTCTATGTTCATTCCTGGTTGTCACTGAAAACTTTTCAGAAGAATTTGTGCATCTCTCAACAACAGTATAATTGCAGTCTCCTTGGAAATGGTACAGTCTTCCATCAAAGGTTATATAATGTGGATCCCCAAAAATGTGGCAGGTGCTGGGATTCAATGGATAGCATCCCAGGAGTCCATTCTGGACCTTGCAAACTTCACTTACATCACACATGTCTGAATTGCAAACTACTGTCCCATTTCCAGCACATACACATTGGCCTACACAGTGTGGTTGCCAAAAAGATTCTCCTTTCTGTTAGAGAAAATCAAATAAATAAAAATTAAAAGAGTTAATGGTAATGCTGAACTGTGAAGTGAGCCCCAGAACTATGTGCCAGAACAAACCTCATAATATTTGCCATTCTGAAGGCAGCCGCAGTTGCTCAAGGACACACACTGTCCCCCGCTGATGACAAAACCATTGTTGCATTCACATCCTTCTACACAAGGTTTGCTGCAGTTCTTAGATGCAAGAGGGTCAGTGCAGGTTGCTGGACAAGCACTGGTGCATGGGTTGTAATGACTGTTGGGAGGGCATGCAACAGCTGAGAAACAATAAAAGGCACTGAATTAACAATCATAACTCACAGGAAACCACTATTTAATAATGTGATTATTTTGCCCTAGTGACAAATGTGGGGGTTTTTTGGAGCCTGAAGTTCTGTTCCTATTTTGATATCAGAAAGTAAAATAGTAAATACTCCACATGGAAAAAAAGCATGAATGTCTCGCAATATATCCTGGATATTAAGCATCTCCAAATCCAAATAAAAACTATACCTCTCTACACTAGATCTTGTACATAGACAATACACTTCCATGAGTATAGGGATTGCTAAATTGATTACATGTAGCCTGGAAATAAGCAAGCCTATTCAAGGCAAAATATCATCTAAAACTCAGAGATGATTCCACATTAACAGAGGCATACTGCTACTGGTTTGACAAAGGTTCTTGAGATAACAAGAACAAAATTCTCCTCTGTTCTCTGGTAGAAAAAAAAAAAAAGGCAAGACTTTTGCAGAACTTTATTTCTCAATATTTTGTTTTAATTACGTGAAGACTTTAAGATACTTAAGCTGTGTCAGTTATTGGCTAAAATCATCCCCTCAAGAAAACAGCACAGCAATTGAAAGACTCATTTCACTATGAAAACTCACGGCAGAAGGTAGCATTCCTCCAGGGGAGAAGAGTCACGCCGGCTGCCTGGCACGTGTCAGCGTAGGCCTCCAGAGCAGCACACAGGAACTCCTGGCCACCATTCAGGGCACAAAGGTCGTAGAGGCAGGTGTCAAAGTAGCTCTGTGGGTTGATCACGCTGTGGCACTTGTCAAAAGAGCTGGGCCTGGAGGTCAGTATGCCACAGAACCGGTCCGACTCGTAGAGCTTCTCCTCTTCTGCACTGCAGGGTGGGGAGGGGACGGGGACACCGCAAGAGGGGTCACTGTCTGGGACCTGCCAGCTCTCCCCCAGCGCATTTGAGTCTGCGGCTTGCTGCCCGTTGGGCATCATGTATTCGTCGTCTCTCCGGCTGTTGAAGTTCCCGCACATGCCACAGGTCAGGTTGAAGTAGGTGGTGGGCACCTTCACCTCCACCGAGTGGTCAGTGTCGTAGGACACTGTGAGGCTGAAGTCTGCCTCCAGGATGACGTAGCGGCCGCTCTTGCTCACCGTGACCGCACCTCCCGCTGCCCTCACCGGCAGTGTCTGGCGCACGCCGTTCACCTAGGGCAGACACAGCACCATGGGCCCTGGACTTGGCCCTGGCCTCCCTGGGCTCTCCTGCCCAGGGAAGGCAGCTGCCAGGCCAGGCCCGGCAAACAGCTGACCGGGATGTCCCCACACCCCGCCACCCCTGGGGCCCGCAGAGCCGTGTCTTGTGTTCTGCCCTCTGCAGGGGCCTCTGCTCAACACAGAGCACATTCCCTGGTTGCCTCTTCCTCCTCCAACCCCTCTGGAAGGGAAAAACCAAGGAATCCAGTGGCTTCCGCGGAGCCCACCCAGGCCTGGAGCAATGGAGACAGCTGGTACATGCCAGGCCCTGCCAGGAACAGCCAGCCCTGCCTTGCAGCCACGCCACACCCGTGCCAGCCCTGCTGCCTACCAGCACTTGGCTCTTCTCCTGCTTGAGGATGCCAATGCGCTGCCCGTACACCTCAACCAGCACTTCGCGCACATAGGACACTCTGGTGTTCCCACGATGCTCGTTCTTGGCCTCCACATTGAAGTAGGGCAGGGCGGTGGTGTTGGAGCACACTTTGGCCAGGGTGTAGGTGCAGTTGCCCATGAAGTTGTGCGTCACCTTGTCAAAGGTGTTGTAGTGAGGGTCGCCGTGGACGTGACAGATGCCGTAGGAGTGTTGGAGGCACACGGGTTTCCCACCCTGCACCCCGCAGTACTGGCCCGCAGGGCACGAGGCTTCGACGCACTGGACCTTGCCTCCCCGCATGGGACACGTGCACTTGGAGGAGCAGGTGTTGTCCGTCCAGAACTCGGAGCCCACGGGGTAGTGCTGCCCGTTGTGCCAGCATCCGCACTGCTGGTTGGGCACACATCGGTCGTGGTAGAGCAGGTACCCGCTGTCACACACACAGCCCTCTACGCATGGCAGACTGCAGTTGTAGGGTGCAGTAGGATCAACACAGGTGGCAGGGCAGGCAGCAGCACAGGGCTCGTAGTGACTGTTTACCGGACAGGCTAATGCTATGTAATAAAAGATAAAGGTCTATATTAATTTTTTTTTAACTACTTATGTATTGGGGGTTTTTAACATTATATTGTGATTGCTTTTGAAATTTTTGGGAACAACTTGGAATTAGAGGCAGTTTGATACATGCCTTTGTTGTGTTGTCACACTTTAATTTCTATTGAGATTTGGGCTGTTGAAAATTTCACTTATAGAGAGCAGTTTCTAGGACACCTCTTATTCCCAGAGAAAGATGATTGCTTGAATTCTTACATTGCACCGAGGATGTCAGTGTCATGTTAGTTGTGTGTCCTAGACATGGGCTATATTTACATTATAGTCCTGATATTTAATTCTAATCACATCTTTGCTTCTTAATTCATATTTTTCAGGTCCACCAAGGACTTTAATGTTTGTTAAATAATCAGGATGTACAAGTGCTCTATTCTATTTTTAGATTCTATTATATACATGATGTATAGCTAACCAAGGTAATTAGGGGTTTTAAAGACAGTCATATTCTGTTAAGAAGATACGAGAACTGAAGTTTCCTGAGCAATATTTTTTTCAGCTTCGAGATGTTCAGGTCCATTACATTAAATAGGTACAAGGCAGGGAGGAGAGGTCCTGTAAGCTCCTTCAGCAGAAAGAACAATTGCAGATACAGCTCACTCCACTTAGAAACCACATAACCTACGTGAGAAAAAACCTCAGTAATGTCCCCCGCTGAGAAAATGCTCCAGATAGATACTGAAGCCCAATGCGAAACAAAAGTCAGAATGAAAATAGGCTTCAGTCATTCCAGTGTTTTCAGACACTCTCTTTAGTCTCTCCATCTCCTTCAGCACAGAAGGCACATGGGTCACTGAATCACAATTCCCTGTTCTTTTTATTGCTTCTGGGGGGAGCAGATCTGTTCAGGACTTTCAGACAGAATTTGAATCTTGTTCTAATAATAACATGGGTGGGCTTTTTCTATAATATATCTGTGAATGCTTGAGGTTGAAATGTTCTTTATTTACTCTTTATCAATACTCACAGAAGAAAGGTTATTATTCCCGTTTACTCCCTAGCATAGACATCTGTCTATTACTTCAGTACTTGACACCTTTCCTGTTGTGCCTCTGTGTGTTTCTCTGCCTTCTCTTCCCTGTTCTCACTACCTTTTCCACCTTCAGTAGTGTGGTTACAATCTCCATTGCACAGATTTCCTACTTCAGTCCTGGCCTTTAGCTCTGGGTCTCCTATCAGTGTTGCCTCCTTTCCCGTATGAAACCATGGATGACTATACCCATAAGGACGCTCCCATGCTTTCGTCCACATTCATAGGGATGACACTCCCTACTCTCTTATACGTATGGGATTCTGTGCCATTGATAGTGTTTCCAATAATCTCCTCCCTTTATTCGAGACCTCCTGCTCACCTTATCAGATGCATTCCTCCTTCATATTGCTCTATTTGAAGAGAGGCATTTGAAGGAAAATTTTCCGATTTTAAAATGGACTAGACAGTAATTTTTTCTTTCATTCAAAGCAGTTTAACTGTTTTCTCTAGAATCTTACCAAAGGAGTCAAACTGAGGACTACATATAACCCTGAAATCTTTAGCTTGATCAGTCAAGATTCTCAATGTTACATGAATTCAGAACAGTGTATTGCAATGCTCTGTCTTCAGGAAGCCCTCATAATACCCTCCTGACAAGTGGTAATTTCCATTAATCTTTGATACATACGGCAGAAGGTTGCATTTCTCCATGGTGCCAGCTGGACTCCTGCAGCTTGGCACATGTCTGCATAAGCCTGGAGGTTTTCACAGAGGGCTGCATTGTTCAAATGAAGTTCACAGAGATCATACTGACAGCCTTCAAAATAACTTTGTGGATCAACTACTGTGTGGCAGTTCTGGAATGGACCATTTGGATCTGTGATCAGACCACAGTATTTATTGCTTTGGATCATATGTTTTTCATCAGCAGTGCAATTTGGAGTATGGCCATCATCTGGTGAGCATCTAACATGGAAAAAAAAGAAAAAAAAGTGGAAAAATTAGGGGATGAACTTTGGATTCACCAGCACCAAAGGTGTTTTTCAAATCACATCTAACAAAACTACAGGTTCTGTTCCCAGACTAAGCATAACATATTTTAAATCCCTACATTTCAAATCCTTAGAGTAGAAAATCAGATTTTAATATGATCTCAACCTAGTTATACTTGAGAGACCTGGAAGAAACACATTTTTGGCTTTTTGGTAAGTCAGGCTGTCTACATGGAAAGGGAAACTAAGGAAAAACACTCAAAATTAAACCACTATTATTATTGAATAACATGTTATGAAATTATAAATAAAGAGTAAAGTATCTCAGAAATGTTGAAACAATGTTGAAATGTACATTGAAATGTATCAAAGAAAATTAGCCAGGTCATTAATAAAACCCACACTTGACAATTTTCATCTGAGAGCTGAAATTAAAATGAAAGCTCATGGTGAAGAGTATATGTGTGTTCAAGATACAGATTTAGCATCTAACTGAATGGAGAGGGAGGAACATCCTGTGATTCAGGATGCAGACATAATACTCATGAATAGCCACAAATATGCTTCCTAGGAAGGCTAAATAAGTTAAGGAACTTTAATAATCTCTCCCTATATTTTTTTTTTCTCTTCAGACACACAGAACTGAAAAAACCAGGATGAAATCCAGTTGCCTAGACACATCAGTTCAGTGCTGAGATGCCTGAGGGTCTCTAGGAAACCTGGTTGAAGGCTGAAGACTTAGGAAAGACTCGTTTGTTCTGGCTGATCTTATCTCTTGATGACATAATCCACAGAACTTAAAATACCACTGAACCCTGTCAGTAAAGTCATTCCCTCTGGTGAGTACTGCAGTAGAGACTTAGGTTTGTCCATTTATACTCATTGCCATTACCATTTGCTTCTTAATTATGTGAAGACTGGAAGAAATACTTTTGACATTAGAAAGCTGTACAAACCAAAGGCACACCTAGTGATACCAAGGCACACCTAGTGATACCAAGGCATGTCATAAAAAAAAAAATCTCATTAAAAACATTTTCTGAGCTGCTACTCAAGAGGTCATCAAGAGAACAATTATCCAGTCTGCAAGGTACATTGAAAAATTGTTCAAGTCTAAAAATTAGTCATAAATTACATAAAAATATTACCATAACTAGCATCCTGAAACTTGGTGGTGGTAAATCTAGGTCTTTCAGCTGGGCAGCAAAGGGAAAGCCTTCCTGGCTGACGAAATAGCCCCTTCTTTTATCTGTTGTAACCCACAGGTGGATTCAGCTGTGCATGGCATTTCAGGCTCTATCACCATTCTCCCTGTCTGACCTGTATTTGTACTTGACATATTCTCTCTGTGTTTGCTCACACAGCACTTCACTAAGGGGGGAAAGAAGCCCCCATAGCCTTTCTCTCCTATCAGCATGGCAAAGCAAATAAAAAGGGAGTGTCTCTGTTATATGAGAGTATTGTTTGCTTGCAGTTGTGTGCTTGGGTTGCATCAAAGTCCCTAGAGACACATTCAAGAACACTTATTTTTTTTTCTGATTTAAGTGGCTGTTGCTCCTGAAAGCCCCAATGTGTAAGTAATGGTAAAACTCAAGCCCAGAGGTCCCTCCAGGGTTATGTGACTTGAAGGTACGGAAGCTATGGGTGCAGTGCTCAGCACTTGGCAGGATCCAGCTCCAAAAAACAGGGACAAAGCCCTTCCTCATGGCAAGACCACAAGGATGTTACTGGCTGTCTGAGCCCAGCAAAAGCCTGAGCTTTTCCTGGTGAATCATTATGATATGAGGGAACAAAAAACAAACAAACAAACCGCCACAGCTAGACTCTCTTTGGGCACAAAGAATACGTGGAGTAAAGTTTGAGGTGGGAAGAAGGAAGGGATCATTACCCTGTACTCGGTACTAGTGAGGTCACACCTTGATTCCTGTGTTTAGTTTTGGGCGACTCACTATCAAAGAGACATTAAGGTACTGGAGCATGTCCAGAGAAGAGCAGCAGAGCTGGTGAAGGGTCTGGAACACAAGTCTTGTGAGGAGTAGCTGAGGGAACTGAGGTTGTTAGGCCTGGGGAGAGGAAACCTCAGGGGACACCTTCTCTCTCTCTCTGCAGTTACCTAAAAGGAGGTTGAAGTGAGATGGGGGATAGTCTCTTCTTCTGGGTCACAGGTGATGAGGTAAGAGAAAATGGCCTCAAGATGTACTAGGGAAGATTTAGATAAGATTTTAAGAAGAAGTTCTTCACTCAGTGGGTTGTTAAGCATTGGAACAAGCTGCACAGGGGAGTAGAGAAGTCACCATCCCTGGAGGTATATTTAGAAGATGTTTAGGGGCACTTGGGAACATGGTTTGGTGGTGGACACAGAAGTGCTGGGTTAGCAGTTGGACTCAAGGATCTTAGAGGTCTTCTCCAGCCTAAAAATTTCTAGGTTTCAGAGAATTTTTCCCTTTTTAAGCACAGTTAAATTTTCTGCGAAACTTTACCCAGATGGATAAAGTAAGTACACTAACAAGTATATTTTACCCATGTGCCTGACATTTTTGACCCCCATGCAACAGTTGATTAAAACACGAGTCATTGCATAACCAACTGCTAAGACCTACCTCGAGTCATTGTAAACCTGCCAACTGTTGCCAAGGCTGGCTGAGTCTTCTTCCATCTCTCCATCTGGGTTAAGGAAGTCATCTGCTTTATGCCCATTATAATTTCCACATATTCCACAGACTTTAGACATATAGGTACTGGGAAGAGTGATTTCTGCTCTGTGATTCCCATCAAACTTAACATGCAGCCCAAAGTCAGCAGTAACCACAACATACTGTCCACTGAAGGAAATGCTGACACCGGGAGCCAAGGTTAGAGGGACGACCTGGCTGACTCCATCAACCTGCAGGCACAGAGAAGGACAAGCATTATAAATACTTGAAAAGAAGTATTTTTAGTGGTGACCCTCTTAGATCCCTGTATTGAGCATAAGGCTTGCACAGTGAACTTGCACATAAGAACTGTGGTATTTTTTAATAAATGTTGTATATGGCCACGTAATCGAGGGCCTTTGAAATTTGAAATGCCAGACAATAGAAAGTAAATTTCCAAGTAAATTTGTCAATTTATTTAAAATTTACTAAAATTAGTATCTACTCATTTGTTCTTATTAGAAATGTAGGAAAGTTTGGTTTGCTTAGAAACATATATGTAATAAAAATAGTAAATACAGGGGAAAGGTACAAGAGAGAGGCTGTAGGACAAGTGTGGATATATGAGTTTTCTGTGTTTCTAAGATCAGATGGGAAAGACTTGGGTGTACATTCAAATCTTTATCTGCTGTCACTTAAATCGCTGTACTGTTTTCTTTTAAGAAGGGTGGTAATGAAGTAAGGTAACCTATTCATTTGTTGGGGGGTTTGACTCAAACATTTCTGCTGTCTTGGCCCTTAAAGGAAAGGATCCATAAAGAAGGTTTAAAATACAAAAGCTGGTCAAATGACACAGGCAGTGTAAAGAGTCATCAGATTGTCATTCTGGGACTCTCATCTGGCCCTGCTTTATGGCAAATGTTAAGGGAAGTTAGCAATGAAGTGGAATAACTAGGAATTAGGGATGAACATGCAGCTTTACAGGCTACCACACAGGGCTGAGAAATAACTACCAGCACAAACTCAATTAATGCAGGGTCTTTTTATTCCCTGTTACACACACCAAGCTTGAGCATGGGGAACAGGTTTGAAAGGTAGGCTAGGACACTAACCACACCTGGAGTGTCAGCTCTAACCCCACCTTTCAACAACACAGCACAAAATATTAGCCTGTGCTTTAAGTTCTGAAATTCCAGTGTTTAAGGACTCCACAGTACTCCTGTTCCTAAATATCTGACTACATTCTAAATATTACTGTATGGATGCTGGAAATTTGTAGTCATTGGATAACAATTTCTTCATTCATACTATGAGATACTAGTGATAGACAGTGGGCTCCAACTTTACCTTAACAGCTCTATTTTTACCCAGATTGATCCTGTAGTCGTAGACATCGACATCCATGTATCGGACATAGGACACACGGGTGTTGCTCCCCCTGTGCTCGTTGGCTGCTTCCACGTTGAAGTAGGGCATGGAGCTGTTGGTCTCACACAGCTTGGAGAGGGTGTAGGTGCAGGTGCCCATGAAGTCGTGGCGCTGCTTGTCAAATGTGTTATAGTGAGGATCTCCATGTATACTGCAAATTGCTTCTGGAGACAGGAAAAAGGAAGATGTTCTCATTAACACACAGATACATCCAGAAAGCCCACCTCATTGTGAGGTGGGAAAACACAGTCATTCTCATTGTATAGATTACATCTGGAAGAACTGAAACAGAAAAGGTAGATTTGTAAGGCATAAGGCAATGTCAAAGAGAGATACCCACAGAAATTAACTGAAGCAAAGTGGTGATAGTAAAAAATACACTTGTCCTTCTACAAACCATTGACTAGCATATGAGATTCGCTAAAATTACCTGTCACTGGTGGTGGTGTAGGCACTGTTGGTGTAGGTGTTGGCGGTACAGGTGTAGGGCCAGCTTCTGTTAGTGGAAAAGACAAGGCAATACAATGAGGGTGAACTCTACTTACACGCTAACGTACATTAGTTTTCACTTACTCTTCCCCAGCATAAAGTTAGAAGTTTTTCATTGAAGTAAGTAGAACTGCCTATTTTTAAAATTGGGGATACGTGGTGTTTTCGAGCACTTAGGAAAGCTCATCTGTTTGTTAGCTTGATCAGCGACTGAGCTCGAGCAATCTCTCTGGAGCTAGAAGTGTATTTACAATCTGGTATGTGACTCCCTCTGGTGTATGCTAAGACACATGAAGGTCCTGCTGTCAGCAAGTGTTGGCAGGTCTGATAGTGAGATGAACAGAGAAGCTCTTATCTCTTGAAGTTACGTTTGTGCACCATCCGGTGGCTGAATCATGTGCTAATACACCTGGAAAAATGAACAACCAACTCTTCCTCAAACAAGAGAAGGCCTCAAATCTTTTTCATGGCATTTTAAATAAAATCACGTGTTCTCAGGGTATGGACCTGAATGGAAATCTTTGTCCTGGGTAGTGTAAATTTGAAACATCTTATGTCATTAAATGAATAGTATTTCACAGAGAACAAGGCCCATTAAGACCTAATGACACTTTCTGTAAGTTTTTCAGCAAATTTCTTGTTCAGTTCACATTTTGTAAATATTTCATGCTTGTCAGTAAAAATGGATCCCAGTCACCCGCACCTTGTGCCAGTCTTGGCTGATTTGTACAGGGTCAGAGATCAAGCTGATTCATAGTCAAATCTGGTGGTGCAACTTGGTGTTACTGACTCACTGCTACCTTTTTGTGACATCTGGCTGTACTGTGTATTTGATGAGCTTATACGAACTGATATTTACTGTAAAATGCTTACTAGTGTATTTAATATGGAATCCAAATTCAGTGTGCATATCCTTCTCTGGGTTTAGAGATGCACTTCAGACTTACAAGTGAAGTAAAGTTTGCTGGACCTGATGAAAAAGGTCACATGTGCAGAGAAGGGAGGATAGCTTATTTTGGACATTTGAGGTCATGAGGAAGAAACTACAGCAAAACACATAACACTCAAATGAAGTGAGCTGTAAAGTTTTTGCCATTTCTCTTTTGTGGTTCAAGGTTCTGAGGACTTACTGTATTGTATACAGAATAGAGTAATGGTCAACAGTTGAAACAGAGATTAAGAAGCAGGAGACACTCAGGTACAAACACAGACTCACCACAGGATCCATCCCTCACTCTCACGTTGTCCAGTGCTGTATCCCCATACTCTGTCAGTCCTCGGACAGCCTCAAAAATTACCTAGGCAGGACACAGAGTGATCACTGCATCAGAGTTGCTTAGGCAAACACAAGATCATTTCTCTTAGCATTATTTTCAAAATAAACTCTCTGGTTTATTGCTAAAGGCATCAAGTCAGCTGAGCTTATAACAGTTTTCCTAACTTCCCTCAGAAACCTAAACTATATATTCTGTAATAACGTAAGGACTGCAAGAGACATTGTCCTCTATTTTGCTGACTTATAAATGATTTATGAGAATTAGTTGTCCGAATTCTACAGAGGAGTCCAATATAGGCAGCATCCCAAAGTTCAAACCTTCAAACTCATAGCAGACAAACTTGCATTTAATTAAGGCATCTAAAGTCATTGATTTCATGATAAAATTAATGAGGTAAGGAAGGACAAAGAGAGAAAGCTAAACTAAATTTTATCCCCTAACTAATAGCACTATTAAAAATAGGAGGTTGTTTGTTTTTTCTCTTAGTTCATTAACAAAAATCATGAGACCATTATGTTTACAAAATCTTGGTTATATTTGTAGCTTATGTGCACAGTATTTTACAACCTGTAAATGGAGAACAAATACTGACACTGTACAAAGAATTAATTCTGAAAATAAATTACCTTTATCCTTCTCTGTGCTGGGAAAGTGTGAGTGATGGCACCATATTTCCATAAAGAACTCTGGTTTCCCTTCCGATGCCATACCACAGACTCCTGTGTGCCATCTTGGATAAGCACTCTAAGCTCATTCATCTCTTCTGATCCAAACATATAGTACCAGAAGTCTATGCATATTTTTTCAGAAACGACAGTCTCTGGGCTTTCCAGCCTGTTAGTGTCGAATGGGATCAGATTACTTGCTTCTTGGTAGATGAAATAACCTTCTGCAGAGTGAAAAAAAAATTAAAATACAGTTGAATCTTCCTAATTTGTTAGATGTTGTCTAAAACTGAAGTACAACCCAACTCTGGAAGAAATCAAGGGCATCACTACCAGTGAAAAGAAGCAAAGTGGAGCGTGTTTGGATTTCACATTGCAATAGTTAACCCCACATACTTATCCCAAGTAGAATGTGAATCTGAGAGCAAAGCAAATACAGTTCATCTTAGTGAACACTTATTTTGGGATCACAATCAAAGATGTAGGACTCTTTTGAGAGACAGCACCTCCAGACACAGTGCCACACTGATCCATGTTCAGTTAGCACTTTCCTCAAAGGAAAATAATGCAATCTGCTATACACCTTCTCATGTGGGATAACATTTTTTTCCCTAAATATTGTGATCTCAAGATGAGTAAATTCCTGGCACATGGAAAATTTCCAAACTATCAGTATGCTTTTGTCTCAAAATTTAAGAAATAGAAAGCAATGCTTATATTTTATTCAAAATATTTATATTAGATATTATGAAAAGTAAAGATTTTTTTTTTTAAATTGAGAAACTCACAGTGTTTCTTTTAGGATTTGTATTGCTTTAGTCTGATTGGTTCAATATGAGATTGGACTTTACTAGGCCTGAAGTATTTTGCTTCACATAGACTAAGATCAAAGTTACATTTCCCCAGTGCAGCTGGAATCATGTCTTTCCCATATGACTATGGAAAGGAATCAAAAATAAATGAATGACCATTTCTATATGGTAAAATATGGATCCACATATAGCATCCAACATTCAGTCATATATTAAAGTTGGCAAGAAAATCTCAGTACTATTTAAAGTGATATGGTCTGTGTCAATTAAAAAAGGAAAACATTATTATTTGTGCTAATCCAAATTAAAAATGTTCAATTTAATCTTCCAACGGGCAATTTTAATTGTTATTATAAAATACTAAAAATGTAGAAAATTATTTAGCAAAAATCCCAACTAATACCATTCTAATCTGCTTACTGACTCTGACAGTAGCTGGCCTTTCAGTGTTGGGATAATTACAAGAGGCAGGATGACTGCAGACTGATCCCCATAAATGGATGTTCTAGTGCAAGGATAGCAGTTCAAACACATAAGAGATGGAGCCACGGAGTATTTGTTTGATAATACGACCATGTTAGACTCCAGTTTTAAAACCATCCGTAACTGAGGACAGACTTTTAAAATATAGTCTTTAATTTCAGACTTGATTTTGTAATGCTTCTCCAGAGTGGACTTTATCTAGGGCCAGTACAGCGATTGTTACATTTGTTGCCATTAACTACTATCAGTGCAATTTGGCCACAAACCCTGTCTTGAAAAATGGTCTGTCGCATGGCAATACATTCTCTGTGAGGTCTTAAGCATGATATAATTATCTTTCTTCTACTTCCATGCACCGATAAAGATATCCAATCTATGATGGGCAACCCATTTTAATTTACTCCTAACTGATATGGTGAAAAGTCATAAACAGGTGTCAACATGAAACAAAACCAACACATTTCAAAGAGCTTTATGAATCGCTTTTCTCTTCCAAAGAAACCATAAAGGTAAATCAAGCTGTCTTCAAAGAGGAAAAACAATGCCACAGCCGAGCACTTACTTCCATCAGGATAGTCTCCATCAGGACCTGTTCCATCAGTCGGAGTGTCATGCTTTGTCCGTATCCACACCCCCTGGTTGATATTACAGGGCTGGGTCCAGTCACAAAATGGTCTTGAGTTATTGTTGAAATCACATCTGGTGAGGTAAGCTGAAATACAACATATTAAAGTGAGTATGAGGAACTAGTATGTTAAAAATTGAATGTAAACAGCACTAATGACATGCTTTTACCTGTTTCAGGATCCCATGTTCTCAAGCCACCAGCCGGCCTTTGCTTGATCCTACCAAGAAAAGCAGTAGAATAAAGCCCTTGTGGAATTAGTGACTCAAAAACTGTTAAAGAAAGCATGTTGGAATCTCAACTTATGCCTTTGGGTGTTTCACTGAATAACTGAATAGACCTTGAGTTTCATCCATGTCTGATTTTGTCTTCCTATGTAGAACTTACTCTTTCCTGACAAAGCTCTGAGAGTGAGTTAAAGGTGGGATATTTCACTTCATCTATTGTGGAAGGACTCTCTTCTCTGTATCCCACTGAACTGAAATGATAGTAGTTCTCCTAGGTACAGGGAGCTATGGAAGGCGTGGATAGATATAGCGCAGCTCAGACAATACCAGCATAACAACAAAGATTTTCTATTAACTTGCGCATGTCATTATTATCCCCACTGTTTCAAAGCAAAGTCTGTAAATGGCAGTAAGATAGTGTACTGTGTAACTGTTATTTGCTGGAAGGCTACATATTTCCTTTAACTGCTGCAAATCTCCTATGACACAAAACTTTTATTTCATTCAGCTTTTCTGATTTACCCTGCAAATGCTGCAACAAAAAAAAAAAAAAAAAAAAAAGCCCTTGTGTGCTACAAAGTCCTGCAGAGATAAGTTGACACAAGACCAAAATTCCACCACATATCACAGCATAAATGGTTCTGCTCTTGGGATGTTTTGCATAGGGAAGGGGTTTGCATGACTGCAAGGCTACAACAGTAGTTCTTGCCATGCTCTGACTGTTGTCCACAATTTTAGGAGGCAGGTTTGAGTTTCAAATTCTGTGATGCCCTCTCCTTAATTATTCTTACTGTACTTGACACAGTCTAGAGAATCTGTCCTTAAGTGAATGCATCACGATGAATGTCCACACTGCTCAAAACCCAAGCAATAACATTCAGAAAACTAGGGACATTAGGAGCAAATATCACAATGAATTCGTTATGAAATGATGCAATGAAATGCAGCAAGCAACTGTAAAACAGACTGAGCTAAAGATAAGGAGGAAAAAGAATATGTAAAGACAGATAAAATAAGAAAGTTTTCTCAATTGTTCTTCTTGGATTTCTTCTCCCATGAGAAAGGCAAAGCTGAGGGAAGTTACCACTTGGTCTCTATTAACTGTTATTTTTAAACTGTTGTACATTACTCAAGTCCTAAGCCACAGATTACTATCGTTATATTAGAGACAAAAGAGTTTTATAGTGACTGTGGTTATTTTGTCCAGATCTCTCTTCTTCAGATGTGCCATCAGAAATCCACATTACAGGTTTCTCTCTCAGGCAGGCAGCAGTGTAGAATTAGGCAACTACAAAATTCAATTATTTCTTTTTAAAAATTATATGGTTCAATTGTACAACATTCCACATTTTTTAAAGTGAAGAAATGTTCCACATTTTAAAATTGAAGAAAGGATATTTATCATTAACAGCTAAGCTTCCTGAATTAAGCTATATTCATTGCTGGGCTACTTACCCTGTGGTATTCAGCACTGAAACACAGAGTAAAATTAGAATGTATTGTAAGTGCCAGAGGGTCCCCATACTAGAAGAGAGAGTTAAGTCTTCGGTGTGGTATAGTTTGCATAGTAATCCACCAGCTGTACTCAGCAAGAAGAAAATGAGGATAACCTATGGTGAAACGGGTAAATATATTGACAAGAGGGTGGAGGTGATTATAAAAATCCGTCCAAGCCTTTATCATGTTCCCTGTGTTATCTACCCTGAGAAAACCCCTATGAACTGAATACTCATATTCTATGTTACTCATTTTGTCACCCTTGGTTGTTTGCTGGAGAAACTGATGTTATTTTGGCAATTTTTGTTGCTGCTGTTGTATATTAAAGAAGCCTGCAGTTTTAAAGGGATTTTTTCCTGACATAGATAGTAAGACAAATTATTTCATCTTAAAACTCCTGCCCAACTTCCACTACCAGTATAAGTGAGAATTCTCATTTTGACTGAATTTTCTCCCTTTCTGAAACTAGCATTAAACAGAGCAGACAACAAGACTTCAATTTACTCACAACAGCTAAGTTTTCATTGGCACAATTCAGGAACTTGCTGAAATGTTACTGATACCACATTGTCCCTGCGAAAAAGTAAAGGATCATTTTCTAGGCTTCTATGAAGTCTCTGCTGATTGCTGACAGCCCAGGGGAAGCAAGTTCCTAGTTCACTTGGATTTCATGACTGATGGGAATCAAAACAATATCAGAAAGTGTACAGCATTTCCTTGTACTGCCTGGAAACCCCAGCCCATGCAGACCATGGTTTTTAAATTTTTTTTTCCTTTTTTTTTGCCTTCTTTTTCTTTTTTTTTCTCCTTTTTTCCCCCTTTTTAATTTTTTTCTTTTTTCTTTTTTTCCCTTTTTTCTTTTTTCCTTTTTTCCTTTTTTCTTTTTTTTCATTTTTTCTTTTTTTTTCTTTTTTTTTTTTTAAAAAAAATTATATTCTGATGATAACGATCATTAAGCCTTCACAAATTAAGTTGAATTTCTTCAGTTCTTCAACTCCCTTTTGCTCTGCTCATTAACAAGTAACTAAGGAGGGTATGGACAGAAACAAGAGAAATAGGGACAGGTCAACGGAGGCTAAGAAGAAACACAAAAATACTTCAAGTTAGGCATCAACTGATGTATTGACCATGCACCTGGGGTTGCATTCTGCCACAAGCCTTTGCAAAGCAAGAGGGTAGATGCTCACTTGACTAGCAATAATCCCTCTCCAATGAAAATCCTTTCCTAGAAGATATGTGTACTTTTACCAGCCAGTAAATTGAGAAGAGGATTTCTGTGATTTTAAGACAAAATATTAATTCCCTGCACAAAACCATTGACCACACTTTTCCAGTTCAGTTGAGGAGAGCTTAGTGCGAAGGGGAGAACACAAGTGACCATCAGGTACAAGTTTCTTTGACACACTGTGTTTTCAGCAGGGCTGCTGAGGTGAAGGTCAGCAAGTGTTAATCTGGGCAATAGCTGTCCATAGCACTGGAATGGAGAGCAAGGAACCCTCCTCGTATGCACACACTTTGCTTCTGCAGACTAGGGATATTTCATTAATCTGGTGCTGCACTGTATCATTCTGACAAAATTATGGAAGTCCATCTTGAAAAGAGAGAAGCCCTCTGTTAAATCCATCCATCCATCCATCCACCTGCTGCACTGTCTTTGACCCCTCCTCACCCACAGCAAATGTGAGGCCCTGCAGCACCACAAACACTCCTTTAGTCATGCTGTGGAACTTTTCTGTGACGTTGTAATTTCTGTTTAATGCCATCTCAGGCACTCTGTGAAAAGTGAACTGGAGTGCTCATTAAGGCTTTTCAGGGAGGGGCAAATATTAATAACCTCTTTTCCACATAGGAAGAACGACAAGGAAATGACTTGCCTTTTGATTCCAATGGGATGTGACAGTATCCCCCATTCCTGACAGTCAATCACCTCACAGGCCTACTATTTCTCTTCTCCACCTGCATCCTCTGTATCTCTGAAAGGCACCCTCACATTTGTTTAAAAAAACTAGGTTGGAATGCACACCAATCTGAGAAAGAAAAGGAACACCAGTTCTTAATTTCTAATGCAATGAAGTTAAAATTCTTTCTAAGAAAGGGCATTTGCAGGTAATCTTACAAACAATTGTTTTACTTCTGCCTTAAATCAAGGATGTAAGTGATGCACACCTGGTAGGAAATCCCTGTGACTGGGTTCCTAGTGCTCTGTACTGCTGTGTTTCTTTTTGACACCAGATTCGCCCCATCTGCAGCCAGCATTAGAAACCTCACCTGCTGCCTGTTAACAAGGCACACTTGGGCTGCTAACTGCCTTTAGGTGATACAAACAGATTTCCCACATAAAATCTGCAGAAGATACCAATAGTAGGGCTTGTTGGTGATCAGTGTGACATGAAACAGCCTCAAAAGGACAGATAATTCTGCATATAACTTTATTTCTGCCAGTTGATCAGAAAAGGGCTCTTAAAGAGACTCTCTTAATTTTTTCAGGATGAAGTTATGTTTCCCAGGGACAGAATCAGGCTGATATCCATGCAAAGGAACAGCACAATAAAGATACAATCAAAAAAGAAAATGTCCCAAGCAAGACAACTCAAACAATGAAAGAAGTAAACTCAACAGTTCACCCATTCTGAGTGCTGTCTAGTGCAACTTGCTGCACAGTTACATGTAATTGTTGTCAAGTACCTAAATCTGGTTACTCCATTTTCTTGAATAGAAGTGTTCTCTGATGAATAGCAGTTGCAATTCACTGTGTTGCTAATGCTCAGCCTATGGTGTTGTAATCAGTCAAAAGCTAGGAAGCTTGAAAAGCTTAAAGGATGGGGAAAATTACATAAAACTTCTTTCTCCTAAGACTTCAAGAGACTGCTACACTGCTACCTAGCACAAAGTGGAGGGCTTGCTGACTGATATGAAATGCTGATGTCTTATTAGGATGCACTTGCAGTACATGTATATTCCAGGGCCTGTTCTTTCTGAGGCTATATCTAGAAGAAATTTTGAATGAATTAATTAAATGGCTGTTCTTAAATGGCAGAATTCTGTGCAGATTCTCTTAATTTAGAATACATTAGGTTCTGTAAATTTGCACGTAAAATCTAAACATCTTCATCTGATTTTCATACAGTATGACTGTATCTCATTGGGTGTTGCACAGATTTAATGACAATGGTTTTTGCATCCATTTCAGTTAAATATATACAATTAGTGTGAGCAAAAGGATCTCTCTGTTGTTTCTATTCAGGCAATAGTTTCTTCCTCTATCCTGACAAATGACCGAGTCAGTTTTTGCAGCATGTCATACCTCTGTCATTCTGGAACTCCCAGTGACCTCTGGCTCCACTCTGCCTTTATTGACGTTGTGGGTGAGAAGGCACTGGCAGATCTGCCATTTCTTCAAAAATCTCTCTATGCTGGACTCCTGTTGGAGCTACACTCCAGTCACTGCTCTGATAAACATTCACCAAGGAGTTATGAAACAAACAATCAGCACCCATAAATCTATAAACAGATAAATTTAGATTACACAGAAGTGTAACTAATCCCACTTTTTCTCTGTTGAGTACGATGCTTTGATAGGCTGATAGGACTCAAAAAATGTCTGTTATAAATGGATGTTTCTCTGATGACTAAAGTATTTGTGTTCTGTTGAGCACAGGCTGAGGTTGTTATTTTTAAAGTGATGGCTCTCCAAATTGAAGCTTCAAGTTGAAATTCAAGCTCTCTCCTTCCTGGTCTGAAAGCTGTAATAATTTTGAAAATGAAATGTAGCATTCTTATTAGAATATAGGTACCAGATTAAAATTTCATTCTCTTTCTTATGTTTTTAACAATGCAAAGATAATAGAAATAAAAATATAGCAGCTTTTCTATCATTATTTTCAGTTGTCAACTGCCTATGGACAAAATTCCTGAGGGTAAATAGTACTCTTATACTGTGATCTAAAAGAAATGCATTTTCAAGTTAATGTTCATGAGTTTATTTGGTGCTTCCAAATGTGTACAATAGGGATAATGTGTAATTAAATTTGCAACTGTTAAGGCCTTTTTTTATCTTTGAGTTGAAGTACATCTCAATGTATTTTCTTTCTAGCATACCAAGACGAAGACCAAAACATTTGTCCCAACTAATGCAATAAAGAGGTTTTGCTGGCATTCCAGTGGATATTTGAATAAAAAAAAGACTGTCATAAGTAAAACTACTTTCTTCTCCATTTTGGGGTGCTGCATCTATAATCATGAGATTTGTAAATCAGTTCATAAAAGCCCAGAAATTTTCCAAGTCTGTCTATTAATAATAAATGAGATATAAAAGATGATTTTGAATATTTATTTTGGGAGTAGATCTCTGGAAGGAAGAAACATGATATTTATCTCTCTAAATGCCTTTTTTATGAAGGGTTGTTTCTTTTTTGATTCAATGATAATCTAAGCAACTGTTTCTGGCTCATCGGAGTTCAGTAATTTCGTATCTGCACCTTGATATATTTTACATTTATTATTGAATCTCCAATACACAGCAAACTTGTGATGTACAGAGACCATTCCTAACAGTAATTTTTTTCAGAGGCAGAGTGCTGCTTTTTATTTCTATCAATGGGTTTGTAAAACCAAGCTACCTACAGAGATAAAGGTCTGATTCCACTATTGTCCTGTTTCAATTTCAGTATTCTACTGTCAAAGCTGTTGGTGCTGGTCTTAGTTCATTCCAGTTTAAAAAAAATCAGACTCCTGGCTGATTCTCTAAATATAGCTTATATTACAGCAGCAGCTGTATCTAAAATTAGCAATCTTAGGCTTGGTTTAATGAATGCTGAAGTTTGTTTGAATTTTCAGCTCACCACTGCATACTCCTTTGGTGCTTATAAAGCCTGTCTCTCCTGTCCTCAGCACTCTGACATTAGCAAGCTTTTCACTTACTTGAACCAGATTTTTAAACAGTTGTCTGTGCCTGGTTGACTTTTTTTCTACAGATCCCAAATGAATTCATGCAGTTCTTTGCCTTCCAATCCAATTCCTCATGAACTGAGTAATCCTGCAAGCCTCTTAACTCTTCCTGGACATTTCAGAAAGGGTGATTTCTCCCATCCATTACTACCTGGATAAATCTATTTCCTCTCAAGGTATGGGTCCTACGGTATGGTCACTACTTACAGTCTCCTCTGTAACAGAGCCCTCTGAATATTAAATGGCTTCTACAATTAAGCTATTAAACCTCTTCACTACAGTTGCTTCACAAAACATCCTAGTGCAATTTCATATTCATGTTAATATATAGAGATGTACGATTATAAATTACTTAAAAATTAAGAAACTTGTCAAATCTATTCGTATGGCCTTTTCTGATCTAAATCCTACACTTCCTATGACTTCTGGAGCTATGCACTGCTCTGCATTACCTAGATCACAGGTACCTCCCTGCCTGCTCTACAGAAAAAAACACTGAGAGATGACTGAATTGAGCTAAGAGAAGTGTCAGTCTGGCAGCTCCTGCTGATTTTACAATCAGAGATAGGAAACTTAACCTATTGCTCAGTCTGCCCCCGATCACAAGCCAAACCCACTCCAGACCCTAGCAAAGCATGAAGATTGTGAAATGCATTGCTATTTGCACTTTGTTCTACAAGTTCTACATCTGAAATAAATGAAACTGAAGTGGAGATCACTTGTGTCATTCATGGGTTCAGAGTAGAGGGATCAGAATTCTCCTGTTTGCTTTGGAGTGAACTGTATTTACACAAGAGTACTTGAGCTATGCAGGAAAACAAGGCTTATGTTTCTTGAGGTACTCAGGGTTCTGTATCAGCAAAGCATTTACTTCTCTAGATGACAGCTGGGTGTGTTCGCATATTTACATATACATAAAAATTTATGTGATTAAATTTTAGGAAATGAAGCTGACCATAAGGGATTATTCTTTTTCTTTAAGTAAATTCTGTGATTTCCATTTCCAGAAACCAAAGACAGTTAGATAGCATTTTCTAACATATTGAGTCCACTCAATGTGGACATTTGAGAAAATGTAACTATATTTTGATCAAGCTAAAATGTTTCAGTTTGAGTTCTGCTGGTCAAAATTCAAACTTTACACATTTCCTCTAAAATTTTCTGTTTACCACTAAATCTTAAAATTGAAGTCAAATGCATATAGGGAAAATATGAAGAATATCAGCTACCATTATGCTGCAAAGTGAAATGTTGATTATCAAGCAGAACACCTGCATATAAATTGCTTTTAAGATCTAAATTAAGAAACTATCTTTTAACCTTTAAATATTATATTATCTGTTGAGAAAGGGTGCCCACAGCAGTGAAAACCAATGCAAGAGAAAAGCCCCTGGATATGTTATTTTAGCATGGTAGACGAGGGTGGCAATGTAGCCCCTTGCTACTGAAAGAAAGAAACCTGGGAAATGAACACCAAGCTAGGAAGCAAATAGTTCTTGGAAACAAGGATACCAAAGCCATTGCAGTCAAGTAAGTGATTTATTAGACACCCAGTTCTTTCTGTGTTATACTGGTAAGAGCAAGGAGATAAGTAGCTATTAACATGATTCAGAAAGATAAAATGTACTGTCATTATACCAAAATCAAATATGACCTGAGAAAGCTTCTACAGAAATAAGCAAACTTCACCTACTTAAGAATACAGAGTTGGAAAAATCTCTCACTAGACACCTGCAGTGAAAAAGATATACCTGCCACATACAACCTTCCCTCTTTTCTTGTGCATAAGGAAATTGAACAATAATATTATAGTTTGCAAAGCAGATCAATAATATCAGAATATTCTACCCTTATTTCAAGATAGTATGCACATGTGTCTAAATGTATGAGTAAAACTGTGGTAATGTTTTGACTCACCTGGAATTGCATCAGCCATCATTCCCCAGTTGGACAGGTCCACGGCAGTGCATACAAATTGCAGAATCATTAGAGGAGGGAAACTCTGGAAGTTACCTGGTTCACACCTTGCTAAAAATCCAAGTAGCTTCAAAATTACATTAAGTTGGTTTGAGCCATGTCCAATCAATATGGAAATGCCACGACCTGGGTGGGTCTCTCACTAATTCCTCTATTTGACCACCTCCATTATGAAGGCTTTTAAATATAATAAGTAATATACACCCATCATGAAATGAGCTTCTCTTCACACCTGCATTCAAGAATGAATGCAGAAGTGCCTATAAATGTGCTCTAGTCAGGAATAACACAATACAGAACAGACAGACCTTTCTCTGATAACCAAACCAGACAAGAGAGAACATGAGATTTACCTGGCTAGTACTTAGTGAACCTGTGCTATGAGAAGTACTTAAAATTATACATTTTAAATTTCATGTTGTGCTTCAGAAGTAATCTTGTGATGGCTTAATAATCACAAAGCAAGCATCTCTGCTTTTTCTTCACTACCCTAAACTCTGAGTCTTCAGCTTACTGTCAGGTTATATTTTTAGATTTTCAAAGAAGTAGAAGACTTCTCTCCTTTTTTTTTTTTTTTTTTTTAAAGCATAACACCATCTGAGTCAAAAATATTCACTTCACAAGTTACATTATATGGAAACAGTTTCTTACAACTAGCGTCAAAATAGAGAAATATCCAGTAAAGCTCAGAAATGGGAGCAGAGGCAATTCCCTTCTCACTGTTAATGTTGTAAGTACAGGGCTTCCAAAAAAGGCAAACCCATAAATCTTCCCAGTAGTTTTGAATAAGCCTTTTAGAGAAGGATTGTGTGACAACCCCAAGTTCCAGCAAGTTCCCTTTATTCCAGGCCTTCTATAGAAGTATAGCAGAGGATAATCCATGAGAAAAGCTTTATTAAAAAAAAAATCCCACTTAAATAAAGTATACTAGTCAGTTAAAATTTTTTTATGGAAAATAGCTTTCATTTTACCCCACCATTCTTCTATTGCTTAACGTTAACATGTAAATCCAGAAGAGGAATAAAACCAAGAACATAATACGATAATATACTTAGAAAAATCTTTTAAGCAACCATGAGCTGTAAAACATTGCTCTGGGCTCTCTTCGCATGCTGACATTCAGGAACAGGTCACCAAACCACTGTGCTCAAGGGACCAGGTGCAATAAATTACTGTAGTTGGATTCACTCAGTGAAACCAAATGGGTTTGCTCCTTATTTCTGATTATTTTTTCCCCCAGGCTTAGGTTTGTTCCCCTTTTTCAGGGTGGAACAGCATGACATGATAGGACTTGCCAGGGGTCACAGAGTGAAAAGGAAGCCCAACCTCTCCTTTATCAGCTATCTGTTCTTCAGGGTGAATTCTTGTACCTTGGTCTCCCACATCCCGTGTGAGTCAGCTTGGCTTTCTGGCCTGGGATATTTAATTTTTCACAGAAAACGAGCAAGTCCAAAGAAGAAAAATGTGAGTGAAATTACTGCCTGGGCTGGTCAGAGCTGGCACATAAGGGGCCTGTGCTGCAGCTGGCTGGGGGGCTGGTGATGTGGTTCCCCCACCAGGGAAGAGGAAGAGGCTGGTACATGGATGGAAGCCATGGTGTGCAGGACCCCAGGGTCTCATACCATGTCTCCTCACAGGAGACTCTCCAGGTTTTTTACCTATTACACAGTCCACTATGGGACTTTCACAATCAGGGCATTCTGCAGTAGTGCCATAGTGATTTTTTGTTCATGCCAGAGTCGCTCTTTAATTTGTTTTCTGATGTCTGGTCTAATATTGATATATGTGAGATTCAGATCTTGAGCAAGCTGATGGCTTGCTTACTTCTTCCTTGAGTCCAAACTTCATTTTCACAATACCCGGTGTTTAAAAGAGTGAGCTCTGATGTGCACTGTGACAGCACAACCCCACACACAACTGGCAGGAGTCCAGGATCTGTTCCTGTTTGTACATCTGTGAAATTACCCCTTCATTGTAAGCCACCGCACCTTGATATCTGTACAAAGTTGTCAGCTGCTTGATATCTGCAGACAAAGTGAGTTAAACAAGAAAAGAATTGTTTCAGTTATCCCTCTAGATTTTAATGTTGGCATTATGTTTGCCAGGCCTGAAATGCTTGGGCAGTTTTCAAAGGTTAAGTCAAATATCCATCTACCATGGCCTTTGCCTTTTGATTAGTTTCCTGAGATTGAATAAGAGCAGATTCAATCTTTCAGACCAGTTCAATAAGAGATGTAAGAACATCTTCTGGCAGGCCTGTGTTTTGCCCTATTGATCTTAGTAAACCTAGCCAAGGCTTCAAGTACTTCTGATCTTTCTTGGACAGTTTGCAGACTCCAGACCTGGAGTTCTGTGAAACTGAGGCTGAACCTCCTCAATGTTTGGCAGACACTTTTGTTTCTGCACTTTAGGTACAGTCCTCTCTTCCTTTTCCTCCAAACTTTAGGGCTGGATTTCACAAATAATTCTCTCTTCAATAGACTGAAGCAAAATTCATGGAGTCAAACACCCTGGTATCAAAAATGTGGACAGTAAGAGAAGAAAGATAGTAATTTCTTTAGTCTACTTTTTTGATGCTATTCCTGCTAATTTTTGTCACCTCTGCTATCTCCAGAGACCACCAGAAACTGAGGAAGCTGCATAAAATGAAGCAACTGTAAGAGTATGGGAAGGGGGCAGTTAGGGACAGTCTGCAGGAATGACTGGATATTCCCAGCACTGCAGATGGTGATTGTGGTCAAACTGTGCTGTGGTCCTTTAATTAAAGACTTGCTGATCCCTTAGGCTGTAGATATGTCTAAGGATGCCTCCAAAGAGATGCCCTGCTTCTGTAGGTCTGACAAGATTTATGTGCACAGTCATTCACGTGCTGTGAATACCTGACTAAACATTGTGAGTAAAAATATTTTTACATGGTCTCTACCTGGAAGCCAGTAGAGTTTGAAATAAATGCATTCCTCCAGCAAAGCCACATCCTATGCACAGTACAAAATGTTTTTGTGAGAATGTTTTAATTCTTGAGGAGTTCCTTTTTCACGTCAATTGTTTGCTAAGCCCCAGTTGGTAACTATAAACAAGGGATTATCTCAGTCTGGGTATGTAGCTTAGGCTCAGTTCTTGGGTGTATGACGTTAAATATTCTGAGCAGTGATGTGGAAGGATCCATAAAATCATGACTGATGGGGTGTGCAGGTGAGACAGATTTATGGATTTATTGGATAAGGAAACCTATAGAATGGTGGTACAGAGATCTGTAGTGCCTGTAATATACATGCATGTTCACTTAAGGGAAATACACAGTTGTCCGTCTGTTACCAAAGTACAGGCTATACTTACAGAAAGGTGACAGGGCAAAGGAACTGGGTGTTCACAGCGTAAAATCAGCATAATTCAATGTCATAAAGAAAAGGGGAGGTCTGACTTGGGGAGGGGAATGCCAAGTCAGCTATGGGAGCTATAATCTACAGAACATTTTTGTTCATTTGGAACATATTATTTTAGTCTGGAGTTAAAGGTTCAAAGAAACCTGATGGAAACATTGGAATTACTTGGAAGAGAACAGGTGGAAAAAGTCTAGACTACTGAAAAAACATTTTATTGTTGGATAAATAATTATAAAAAGTATACTTAAATGGCATAATGCCTACAGAGAATGTCTACAGAGACCACATTGAAGGAAGCAGAAAATGTTTTAAATTCTGTCATTATGAATTTACTTAGTCCTAGATTCTACACATTATATAAAGATGTGAGGTTTTTTTGGTTTGGTTTTGATTTGCAATTTTTTTTTAGCAGTGTTTTGCATGTGGTGGAATAATTTTCTTGTATACCATAATTTCCTCTCTTGCAAAAACATGCTAAAACGGGAAGTATTTCCTCAGCTTTGTAACAACACCTTAAAGTTATCAGTGACATGGGACTCATTAGCTCTGCTACCTCACAGCGTTATCAGCAGCTTTTGTTAGCTCCTCACAATTCAGCTGTTTCAGTGCTTGAGAATGATCTGTTTGCTCTGCCACTGCTTTTGATGCTGCTTTTTAGGAGCAGAGCAGAGCAGAGCACTTTGTTCCACCATCTGTATGCCTGAGCCATCCAGCTGTTCCTGTCACTCTGACCAGCTGCTCTTTCCTGTCACCTTACCAGTTCTGGACTCCCCTCCCAGATGCTGTTCTTGTGCTCCTGTCCCCACACACATCTTTCTAGATCGTCCCCCAGGAAATGTCTGCCTCACCTGGCTCTGTCTTTCCAGTTTTTCCAGAACAGTATTTCCAGCTCCTGCTGCTTGCAATTTGGTTTCTTTTCTTACTGCCACACTGGTCTCTGTTCCAATATGCCTTTCACATGGCTCTGTGTCCAGATCTAAACTGGATGCTGGCACTCTCCTACGTGTCTGTGTCCAACGGTATTGGGGCAGCAGCTTGACAGTGAAGAGGAATCAGGATGCCAGATCTGGCCCCTAATAATTTGCCTGTTTAATCCTTAGCAACACTGGTGCTGGGTGAGCCTTTGCTCACATACCGTTGGTCTGGAGCTTGCTACATGCAGCCACAGCAGGAAACTTACAGGAATCTGTCTGAACTGTATTCTGTGAAGCTGAACAGACTTGATGTCAAAAAGCCCAGTTTTGTTAAATGCACTTCTCCCCAAGCAAATTATAAGACACTTTTTTTTTGGAAATAAGAGAGTGTATGAGCCTTTAATGATGAAAAGGCCACTAGAATTTTAAAATACAAATCAGAGAATTTTTGTCTCATTTTGAGGGAGTTTCTTTTAAATGACTAGTGTTCTGCTTGGGGTACACTAGAAAAAACAAACCTGAGGCTGATAATACTTTAGAAATGTTTCCCCAAACTGTTCAGTTTGGCTATATCATTAGCAACTGAAGACAGCAGCAGATTTCTACTTTTAATTGCTCAAATTCTCAAAAGGAGGTGTTTGTTCTGACTGCCTCCATTTCAA